TTTGGATAAAAAATCTAGTGGGATCATAACTAATGTGACGAATAATTGTTAGCTCACATAGCCCCACTATCATTGACGGCACAGAGGTTGAAAATACAACCAATGTCAAGTACCTTGGGCTGAGTTTTTCTGCCGATCTTTCCTGGTCTTCCCACATCTTGCTAGTTACTAGAAAGATGTTTCGCTTAACGTTCTACATTAGGAAATTTAGGCAGTCTGGCATAAAGCAGTCTTTGCTTTCTCAGTTTGTCAATTCTTGTATTCTACCCATCCCCCTTTACTGCTCCCCATTAATCTTTCCTGGACTACTTAAGAAAGACTTTGCTTTGCTGAGAAGGGCACTAAAAGCCGTTAGTAGGGCAAGTGGGATATCGTTAAACCAACTGGTTAACACTATTGTGGATGGACATATTATATCATGTAAGAAACTAGCGAATACAATATTGTCGGACCCCTAGCATCCTCTCTATACTCAGCTCTGTCCTTGCGTTTCATCTGGTAGAACAAGAAGCAGCTATAAGAGGCTATATGCTAGGAATACCAAGTACAAAAACTCCACAATACCATATCTAGCACAGCTGTTATGTGATGAGAAATCCGTTAGGTATGACACGATAAACTTATTGCGCCAGTCTAACAAATAGTCCCATTAGTTCTTGTTTTCCTTTCCTCGTTACTATTTTACTGTTGTTCTCATCTTCTATTACCCACCAATTTTATATTTCATATCCTGTGGTGCATTGTTTGAAATGTAAACTCTACGCTGTTTTTTTTAAAATTTTTATTTATCTTTTATTTTCTCTAGCGTTGGTTTTTTTCATTTATTTATTTTTTTGATTTTAAAAATCTTATAATATTCATGAGGTAATTAGATGCAATATATTGTAATGCACGCTGAAAATTCCATACCTGTACTACAAATACCGTTTGGAATAAAGCTGTTAATATTATTATTTATGCATTCAGGGATTAAATATGTAGAAATAATAAAATCAGAAAATAGACAGGAAGTTCAGATATGAAAATATGGCAGTGTAAATAGGGATTAAGGAAAACTTGAAAGTAACATGAATAAACAGGAAGTTTGGATAAGAAAGTCAATGGGATAGTCACTATTAGAAGAATTACTTGTTTATGATGGTCATAGCAGGGACAAGGGTTGAACTTATTTCTTTTGGATACATAGCGTGAATTTGATCTTTTGGATGGCTAGTGCCTCGGCTATACCCAATTGTCAATTTACTGACACGACATATCTCTAAAATAATAGGAGAGAGAATCCATTTTTCGGTGGTGTTACACGTATTAATTATCAAGTGTGGCTTTGCAGGGATTTGACTGGTTACAATGGCGTTCAGGAGCTGACATCAGTTAGAGAAACAATGGAAAACCTGGGAGTACTGGACAGTTATACATATATCATGAATTGACAGAAGTTGGAAATCATTGGGCCGTTGGGTCATATTCCACTGGTTGAATGGTTCACGAGCGCACCCGGTAACTGGAAAGTCCTGGGTTCGAATACTGACGGGTGGATACTAGTGAACAGTCTCAAAACTAGGAAGAAATATTACTATACATTACTAAACATACATAATATTACTGTAAAACACTGTGATTTATCAAATAAAATCTTGGCCATAATGGAAATAGGGAGAAAAAGCTGTCCAGTACTACCTCCAAGCTTTTTCGATTGTACTATAACTGATTAAAAATGCCCATTAAAATTTTTTTCTGAAAAGAATGGATACTGAACAAAGAGTACTCTTTTCGATAAATTCATCATCAGGTTCTACAGTTATACATATATTATAGTGAATGAATGAATTAGTGTTATTATTATTATTGTTCCCTTGGGTTCCTAGTGGAACATAGGGCTTCAAATACACCTCTCCACTTGCCACTTCTGTCTTCCTTCTGCTGTACTTTTCACCTGCATCCATGCTAGTTAGTCCATACTCTTTCAACTCCTCTTCACACGATCTCCTCCATGTCACCCTTCCACTGACATCCCACTCGCCGCTTCCCTTCCAGCCTTGTTCCACTCGAGAGATGGCCTGACGCGTTCGCGATGTCACCCAGCTGCCTCCTCAGCGAGCGAGTGTCCAATCCGTCCATCTCCACTTTCTCCTGCATATTTGTTGTTTGGCGATTGGTTCTTGTTTTGTTTGTTCTCAGCCATAGTTTCTTGTTGGTGATTCTTCCCAACCCGGCCCGGCCATCTGATCTTCAGTATAGAGCCAGCGAAGACAGTTGTTGGTTGATGAAGGTCTGTAACAGGCTGTTGGAAATGTTCTTTGTGACCCACCCGCTAAGTTTCTTATCCGTATAAAAGAACTGACTGAAATGACGTTGTTTGTATTGAAAATCCAACGGAATTTTGTTGTTTATGCTGGCTGAGTGAGAAAGATTTCCAGATTTGTTTCAGGTTGATGGATGAATGTGTTTCTCGCTCGCCTTCCCGGTGATTCTCTCTCAATTTGACATCCCCGTCCGTTCCGACTGCCTGTAGTTGAGACAACGCTCAATGCTAGATAAGTGAGTGAATGAAGTAACCTGTTTCAAATCCCTCCCGTTGATGGCAATTTGCGCTGGATGTTGCTGTTTTAGTTGTTTGTGTTGGTTGGTTATTTTCATAATCTTCTTCTTGTTCACCTATGTTCGCTTGGAGTCCTGTCTTCACCGGCTGCTTCTTCGATCAGTTTGTCGGTTTTCCTTTGTAAGCTCAATAACATCAACATAAAGTAAGCTGAATGTCAGAAGTGCAAATTAGGAAAAATATTATTACAAATTCATGAATTTATAGTCTCTACTGAAGGTCAGGGCAGTAGTAGTGGTTGGACTTGCTTCTTTCGAACACAGAGCACTGATTGTTTGAGGCGAGTTGCAATAGCCTCTCCTGTTTAAAGCATACGGTGCTTCGATGATTTTGGCAATTTATTTGACACCCGGTAGATGTTGATAGAGAAGGATTCTTCCACGCTGCCTGGCTTTGTGGCCGGCCGGTTTGCACCAGATGGACCAATATCGAACTACACCTTTACTTAGCCATACTGGGAGATGTTCTCGAGAGAGCACGAAAAATCAAGTTCCTAGAGCAACGGTCAATATAACTCGCTCCACCGCAAGCGCAGTTGAATTGGTAGATACAATTTGAAGAGGCCAGCTAGCCTAGGTACTTCATCTTTCAGTTTAGGTAGTACCATCGGTCGTGATCAAAGCTGTTGCGCATATTACAATACTATCCAGACTGTAATTTCCCTCATTCTATTTAGTTCTATGAATAGTTTAGCCGTGTTATTTATTTGATTTGAGTCATGAAGAAAATAAAAGACAGATTCAGTGATTTTGGATGTTTTTCTAAAGAGGAGATCTGATGGTTCTCTTCAAAGATCGACCTACAGGAAACCAACATGGAATAGTCAGTACACAAATTTCCATAGCTGGGTCCCTTTGAGAAGAAAGAGAAATCTGATCCATTCCTTATCCTCAAGAATAAGGAGGATATGTTCAAGTGATACAATCGATGGGGAACTGGAGCGACTCAGACAAGTTCTCATAGAGAATGAATATCCTCCAAGATTTATCGAGAAAAACATGAAGTTAAGGGAAAAGCCTGAAAGAATCCACTCGGTGCCGAAGAAACTGCTCTTTATGAGTGTTGAATTTAAAGGTGATACCACAGCTGAGATCCTAAAAAATCGCTTATGCAGATCACTGAGGAAAGCCTTCTCTATGGCTGAGCTACGTATCAATTTCTACAGCCGACAAATGATCACTGGATGTGTGAAGGATAAACTTCCGCCACTTTGGGCCACCTCAATGTGTGTTTATAAATTCACCTGCTCGTGTGAAGCTAGTTATATTGGCCGCCCGTACAAAGCGCACGCTTTCCAAACACATCTCTGAACATTATCCGGCATGGTTAGCAAAGGGACAATGTAAGACAATTACTAGCTCAATTCTCGAGCATTTGGTGAACTCAGGCGACGTAGCTCCACCAGAGTCGTCTTTCAAGATCAACTACAAAGTGAAACCAAATGGTACAAAGGTCGTCAGGTCTCGGCTTTTGTGTATGGTCGAGGCACTGGTAGTTCATAAATACAACCCTGAACTTTCTATACAGAAAAAGTTTGTCCAGTCTCTTATTCTACCTTTGTCTTAACCTCTTCACTAATCGTTCCCTGTAAAAAATTTTGATTTTTTCTTTCCTTTTTTAATTTGACTTTCAGTTTACTTTTGCTTTAATAATTAATTAATTCACTATTATCAATCTCATATGCTCCTTTTGTATATTTTCACACCCTCTTCACACTTGTTAAATTAACACTCAACTACCACTTTTATTCTCACTCAGTAGAAATTTCAACCTTATCAAACTTCTATCTTTGTACCGTTGAGTACTACGTAATTTACAACTTTTAATTTTCACTTCTAAAGCCACTTATGAGTAATTATGTCGATTATATCACCCCCTATTACTCAATAATAGACCACTATATATTTTTGTAAGTATAAGTGTAACCACAGAAGACAAGGGCAGGCAACAGATCGTTTTATTACGGAAAGCAGCACGTATTTATATATATTTCACATACATTATTATAACTTATTCAAGTAGACAAACACAGTCTTCTGATTGGTTGTTTTTGAGTTTCTCGGGAAAGTGGAGCCATCTATCTGCGAATCATATTCGCCCACGTTTACGTCTGCTGTGATTGGTTGTTGAATCAGTCTTGTTCATATTTTCTCACGGCCAATATTAGTGACCTAGACATTGACGTAGATTAATGTCGACCAATTGCCTAGGAGCCTGCTCTCACTACATAAGTACGACTGTACAGCCAGCCTGTGAAGATGATTTCGTCGATAAAGAAAATTTTCTTCGCTGAATATATCTTTTATTTTGATTTGATTTATTTAATTTGAAATGACGATATATTTTATTCAGTAAATATATGTATATATATATCTTTACTTTTTCTCTTGATCATTTAAAGAATCGAGAATTAAAAGATGTCGATTTATTAACACGACAACGTGCTGTTAAAGCCTTATGCGATTATTTACACGATCCTGAGCATATAGCAGAAGCAGTTAATGAAGGTAATTAATTAATTTCCCCTTCCTTTTAGTTCCTTTAAATCAGTCACACTATTTATTACTCTCCATTTCTACTTCTTTCTTTTCAGGAGTAGTATGTTCATTAAATACGCTTTTAAAAGATCCTGATGTACCATGTAGAGCATATTCAACAGAGTGTTTTGTCATCCTGTGTCGTAAGTTTTTAATAAAAAAATATTTCTTACAATTAATATTTATTAAAATAGAACATGCAATTGGTCGTACTGCTGGATTAAATCATAATATTTTAGAATCATTTAAACCGCTTATCGCATTTAATCAACCTGATATCATTCGTTTAAATACACATAAAGCTATTGAACTTTTAACAACTGATCCATTGGGTGCTAAAGCAGCTGTTGAAAGCAAATATATTGATTTATTGATTAAATGTGCTGAAAAAGAAGTGGATGAAATAAAAGTTAGAAGTGAATTTTTACAAATCCTTAAACAACGAAATTACATTCAATTATCATTTAGATTGTTGTATTGGACACATTGAATCATTGTTTAAGCTTTGATACTGGTGAAGGCTTAGAATCTGGTGGAATACCATTGTTTACAAGACTGCTATCTCATCCAAGCGCTGATGTCAGGGCACGTACAGCTCAAAATATTTTACGTTTATGGTAAGCTGAAGGAAAATATTTTAACTCACGAAAAATATCCATTTATTCATAAGTAAAACCACAGTTGTTTTTTTTTGTTCAGTGAAGAAATTTTTCCATTCAACGACTTCATTTTCAAGCCAACTGTACAGTCGTATTTGTATTACCGAAAAAGGTTATTAAGTGGCACTAAATAATTAATTGCTCAGTCAATATACGTATATATGTGATAAGAATAAAGATAATTAAAATGTTATAAGAGGTAGAGTTGAAGTGGATAAATTACAAAATTATTAAAGATTGTTTTATAGGTGAATTGATATCAAAAATATTTTAAAAAAGCAAAGTGTTGTCTAAAAATTTTGAAAATTAGGAGTACGATTACGATAAGAATGAAGATGTGAAGTGAAGTGGAAGGAATTCAAGTGGTAAAATAAAATAAAAACTAGAAAGAACATTATTATGACCAAGGTAAAGAAAGGGGTTTGACAAAACGCTTTTGAACACATAATTTAGGTTTCTGTTCATGTATAGCTAAAGCTTCGGCTAGTTATGCATAAGTGAAGAAAACGTAAACTTTTGGATCGATTCGATTTTGCTATGTAGGTAACTTTGAAAGATGAATCACGTGGGGCTGAATGACCAGGCTCTAACAGATGTTCACAAATATACAACTTCTCAGTTCTACGTTGGCCTTTCATTAACCAAACCGGCTAGTGTTCAGCTACACGTTTTCAGAGAGTACGCTTGTAACAACAGAAGACAAGGGCCAACCAAGCAGATTGTTTATTAAGGAAATCGACACATATTTATAGATTTTCATGCACATATTATAGATTATTGTCAGCAGAAAAACACAGTCCTCTGATTGGTTGTTTTTCACAGAAAGTGAACCTTGTATCTCTTTATGGCTGTTTCTTGAATGTCAATTCATTTATATGTTAAGTGTATCCGCCTGCGCAAAGCCTTTCTTCTCATTTTTCTCACGACCAATATTGGGGACATAAACATTGACGTAAATTACTGTCCACCAATTTTGGTTAACAGCCAGCTCTCTTCACATGCCCACAACGTCCAATATAATCAGCTCCACTGGAGCAGATAAAAGAGTAAATTCACATAGATGTGGACATAAACGGTAATCTATCCTTGACGCATTGTCTAATCATATTTTGGCTGGTAAAAACTAGTTGCAAGTCAGCTGCAGGAAAAGTGCGTTTAATACATTTAGATAAACAATTTTTAATCAATTCATAAGTGATGTCACCTTTGAATGCAAGACACATGAACAGTTTTTTCTTTGGTACTGTGATTAGTCTCGGGGCGGATTCTTTCTTGATGTTACGTTCAATAACCTTTGTAGGATATCCATTGTTAAGAAGAGATTTGATCGAAGGTTATCTACTTCACTATCGATTGTCTCTGTAGAGGAGATCTCACGAATCCTGGGGCATAAGGAATGAATTAAATTTCTCTTTCTCCTTAAAAGTGCTCAACTGTTGAAGTTAGTGTACTTTTTTTTTCGACGAATGCCATTTTATGAAAAATTCTTATCTTTCTCTTCATTTTTTGGCCTTGCTTTTACATAAATCAGATCATTTTGTGATAGTAGAAGAGACGAAACTTGGTAACAGGATGTTCATTAGGAATTTGATATACAAACAATAGAGAAATTATGTATACCTTACATGAAAGTCGTCATTTGTCCAGATATTCCGTCATGTTGATACTACTTCTGCCCTTCCTTCATATATTGTGTTTCTTTGTCTTTTTTTCGTGCCTCCTCCCCCCCCATGTTTTACCACAACACTGGTTCATTTTCTCTCTTTGACATCAAATCTATCTTTCCATTATTTGAAAATATTTATTTCGCGATACGAATTTAAAATCAAGCAATAAAGGTTAATAAAGCAGGATGATTTAATGAATTCATCAAATCCCGGTAGAACTCTTCCTCAGCTGAATACTCTACATACACGGATATATATACACTTTTGAAATTACATTGGGAAATATAAGACTACTGATAAGTAAACAAACTACATTGAATTAGTCATGCAGAAAAACAGGTACCAATGTTTTCCAGGTCATGTTCATATAGATAAGGCGAGGGAGAGAGAGAGAGTATGAGAGATCAAAATTAAGATAAATTGCATTACGCTTCAATTACATCACTTATATAAACAATTAGTCATTAGAGAATATAACAAGAAGTGCAAACATACTAATATCAACAGTGATAGTTATAATGACAATAATAATAATAGTGTTGAAGTAAGTTAAGATAATCTTACTGATAAAGGATAGTTTTAAATGAATCAAGAATAATGATGATAATAATAAGGTAGAATAATAAGTGAAACGTATTACCATGGTAGATTCAGAGTCACGACCATCTCCTTTTGTACACAGAGACCTGGTTTATAAACCCGAATTGCACAAGCCTACGCAAATGCAAGCATCTTCTTGTTCCTTTGTCTGCTCTCCGACAATAGTGAATGACTTGACCGCGTCGATATCATGTCCACCGTAGTCCACAAGATGTTTCGTTTTTGAGGATTTTGGCATTTTGCATTCAGCTGTTTTCAACCATTTTGGCAAATGCTCCATCATGAGAGTAGACAATCGCCTTTCTGTAGGACCTATGTATTTGCTTCCACAAAAACACTCAAATTGATATACGCATTTTGAAGTGTCCAAAATTGGCGACTCGTCTTTCCCAGATTGTTGAAGCACTTGCTTGGTGGTGGTGGTGGTGGTGTTAAGGATAACAAGTTTTGCAGCATAATACGTTCTCTTGATGGCTTTATCGAGTCTTCATTTGACTGCTTCCTGTACGTCATCTCCTTTGAACGGCAAATTGATATAGACAGATTTCTTCGGAACTGTTTGGATTGTTTTGCAGGGGCTCATTTCTACGGAGTGTTTATTAGTGAGCTTCTCAGGATATCCATTCTTAGATAAAATATCCTTCAGAGCTTTTTATTTCATGCTTAATAGTACTGTCAGAACGAGATTTTTGTGCTCTGTTGAACAGTGTTCTGACTAAGTTCTTTTTATGCTGGATTGGAGCAAAGCTCTTGAAATGCATGTACTGTCCTGTCTATGAGAACTTTCTAAATATAGATCTTTCGATTGCACCATCTCCGTTATTTGATATTTTTGTGCTGACGAACGTCTCTTTTTATACACTACTAATAAATCTTGTCAGTAGTACACATTATAATTTTATGTGCAGACATAATACTAGAACGATCAAGATTAATATTGAGTTGAATGAAAGAGAGAGAGAGAGAGTGGTTACGTGGCATTACTTATTGTATCACATATCTAAATCACATAACATAGCCCCTGTATACACCAGTCGAACGCTGTTTACATATCTATATAATACCTATAATGCTCTTTGATTTCTAAGCGTAAATTTACTTTCTAAAATGACTAAATAGAAGTTCTTCTCAGTAGATATCATCATGAAACAGCATCACCAAGACTCAATGAGTACTGGTCAGCCGATGCATCCTATTTTAACGACCCTGTGTTGTGTAAAAGCACTAAACCCTAAGAGATCAAAGGCAGAACCTTCAGTTTATGGGTCGATTAGGTTGATCATCCGATTGCACTAAGCATAACTATTAGTTTATGGTCAGGGAATGAAGTGATTGGAAAATTTACCCAATTCAGTTATTTCGAAATTTGTATTACCATTATATTCACTGATTGCTAATGAAGTCTCAAATATGATACGTAAGACTCGTCTTTAATTTATCAGCATTTGCTGTTTTCGGAGCATGAGATCTGAAGCTGAAACTAAGACTTATTATTGTTTCCTTTAGTTCTTAGAGGAGCATAAGGCTTCAGCCACATGTCTCAACTGCGCTCTGTTCTCTGCCAACGTTTTCACCTGGGTTCACGTCTGCTCACATGCTTTCATCTTCTCTTCACATGACCTCCTCCATGTCATTCCACCCTCGCACTGAAGATCAACTCACCGCTTTCCATTTGGGTTCCACTCAAGGGCTTGTCTTGAGATGTCACTCACTTAGAGTATGGCCAGTCCACCTCCATTTCTTCTTACATATTTGTTGCACAATCGGTTCCTGATGGGTTGATTCGCTCATTGTCAGAGATCCCTATTGCTGATCTTTTCTGGCCGGCTATTTGACTTTGATTATTGAGCAAAGACAGCTAGCTGTTGACAGAGGTGTGTATTTTATTCAACGTCCCCATCGTGACGCACTGGCCAAGTCTTTGATCCATAAAGTGGACCATTTTAGCATCTGTATAAAGTATTTCAAAGGATTCATCCAAGAGATGATGGTTCAACCAACTGGTGATAATGTTGAAAAAAAGAAAACTCCTCATTTAAACATTAAGAAATAACAAATCTGAACAAAGAAATATTTGCATTTCAATTAGATCCTAGTCAATGGCTCTACACAACTGTTTTGTGAAAATTTTTAATAAAGTACATAATTTACGTATCTAGTTGATGATGTGTCATTTAATAATCACCCTTTCAGAAGGATGATACTTCGTCAGTCCTACGGAGGTAACAATGACAGAGTAGAAATAATTTCTGGGGATGGAGACAGGTGGTCGACTTAATGCGAAATTCGCATGTTGAGCGACAACAAGATTCAATGGAAAATCAAATTTATTGAAAGTGAATGCAATAAAAAGCATTAAAATTTGAAATAGGCAAATAAACCAAAATTATTTTGAGGTGGTTATGTTCTCTGAGCTGGATACTTAATTTCCGAAGCTTTCATCACCCTACTTACTAGGCAACATCTTCAATGCATACTCTTCAGTTTGCTGAAGTGAGCTTTTAGATTTCTCCACGAGTTTATTAATCATCTCTCCCAGTAGGTGATCTTGGACGTGATTGGTTGTTTTTATGTGTTTTCACACCTTCTAGGCACCTACTTGTATTGGAACTGATTGTTTCTTTGACTTGAACTTTGACCCTATGTGTGTGTCAGGTTTCTTTCTTATCGGTTGATAAATTTTGTCTATATCGATGTGTCTATTGATTGATGATTCACTGGAATACAAGACTGGCTTCTAAAAATTCTCTAGCATTCTCGGTGTTTGTTGAGTTGATTCAACTTACACAGACCAAATCCTGAATAACATCAGCAACAATCCAATAACACACAAAAGGAATTGCACACAAACACTATTCAAGAGGGTCAGGACTCATTGCAGCACTCCCACATTAAGGAAAATTGAAGAAAAATATCTCATGGACGTCTTCCAAAAGAATGGATATTCACGGAATTTCATCAAAAGACATACACCTCCAAGCCAACCTATCAAACCAAAAGCCCCCAAGGAAAGCACAAAGAAATTCGTCTTACCATATATAAAGGATATCTTGAAAATCAATACAAGACTCTTCAAACCTGTAGGAATTGACGTCACACACAAACCATCAAAGTCGCTTCACTCAATTCTATGTCAACCAAAAGACTCAACAGCGAAAGAAGACAAAACCAACATCATCTACAAAATAAACTGTAACAAGTGCGAAAAACACTACATTGGCCAAAGTGGACGTCCCCTTCGTCTTCGTATCCACGAACATAAGCTAACCGTCTAAAGACATGATATCCACTCCCTCATATCACTGCATACAGACAACCACGGACTAGGACAACCAGCGTTCAAATATTAGACAGAGGAAACAACAAGAATGCTAGAGAATTTTTAGAAGCCAGTCTTGTATTCCAGTGAATCATCAATCAATAGACACATCGATATAGACAAAATTTATCAACCGATAAGAAAGAAACCTGACACACACATAGGGTCAAAGTTCAAGTCAAAGAAACAATCAGTTCCAATACAAGTAGGTGCCTAGAAGGTGTGAAAACACATAAAAACAACCAATCACGTCCAAGATCACCTACTGGGAGAGATGATTAATAAACTCGTGGAGAAATCTAAAAGCTCACTTCAGCAAACTGAAGAGTATGCATTGAAGATGTTGCCTAGTAAGTAGGGTGATGAAAGCTTCGGAAATTAAGTATCCAGCTCAGAGAACACAACCACATCAAAATCATCCACCTGAGCTGCAAATCTTTTCTATCATATCTAAACGAAAGTTATTCAGACCACAATGTGTGGCCTACTTGGTACCATAAAATGGAAATGAAGAAGACAAGCATCTATGCATCATATTACATACTACTGATTGATTGTTGTGAGTAGCTGGATGCCACTCACACCAACCAGGAATGTTTACCATTCAGATCTAAGTGATCGACCTTTTCACTCACTTAAGGCTGAGGTCATCATCAGTGTTTATGGTTTGAGTAGTCTCAGAGCCGAATCAGTTCAAACCACGATAGTCAAATCTGAGTGAAACCCGGTACACTGATTATGAGCCCAGCCTAGAACGAGTGAAATCTCCGGCTACTGTTCAGATCACTACAATCTGTCTCGCAAGCGCTACTTACACTAGTCAGTAATTCAGTAGTAAATAATATCGCGAAAAGAATACATTTCTGATATTAGATGGTTGGAGGCAATCGGCCACAAGAAGCCTTGCTAGATCTAGGTTTCGTGCTAGTTGACACTCATCAGCAAGGCGTATCTACAACCGCTTTGAAGGAACTCATGTCCCTTCTGAGATTCGAACCCGCGTCACTCAGTGCTGCAGTCGGAGATATTACCACTGAACTATTTGACCTCGCGAGTGGCCTCCTGTAGGACTGTAGTGGATATTTTGATTGGACACTAGAAAGTAGTGTGATGTGTGTAGTCCTTTCTTCGGTGCAGAATGAATTCTATCAGTCAGGTTTGTAATGTGATGTGCACCATGATGGCGAGCTACTTAGAATGGTGGCCACATTACAAACCTGACTTATAGAATTCGGTATGCACCAAGGAAAGGTTTACAGTCCTCATGCTAGTTACTAGTGTTCAACCAATTATAATACATTTCTGTAAAATGAAGTTTTTCTTTTAATTACAATGTAGATTTCATGTTTTGACACTTTCTCAACTGATTAAAGTACATCGTACTCAGCAAAAGTAGTTATTATCTATTCAGAATCAAAGATTCTCATTTCATTCTCCCGGGAGGCTTGAGTTTTGAATAGTGATTACGGAACACGTTATTCAATAAGTAGTCTGTAATCTAATGACTGCACGGAGGATTTCATCATGAGCTGACATTAGTTAGAGAACCACTGGAGAACTGGGAGTACCAAACGGCTGTTTCGTTCTAGTTTGGGACTCTTCACCAGGATACACACACCGCCAGGGTTCGAACCCAGGACCTTCTGGTTACAAGGCAAGCTCGTAGACCATTGAGCCACTGGGACCCAATCAAATGGTCCTTGGATTCTAACTTCTGCCAATAATTGAAAATTAATCTGATGCTCACTAGCGACTGGCCCTATTCAGGCAGTTAACCTGGGGTTCTAGTGTGAAACCGTGACCAGTAAAGTACAGCAATTTGAAGGTGAGGCAGTAACTCATTGGAGAAGACATTGTGAAATGGTCGCGCTATGTCGTGAATTGGAAGAAGTTAGAATTCATGGACTGGCCATTGGATTGGGTCCCAGTGGCTCAATGGTCTACGAGTTCGCCTTGTAACCAGAAGGTCCTAGGATCGAACCCTGGCGGTGGGTGCGTACTGATGAGGAGTCCCAAACTAGAACGAAACAGCTGTCCAGTACTCCCAGGTTTTCCAGTGGTTCTCTAACTAATGTCAGCTTATGATTAAATCGTCCATACAATCAAACCACATCCCTACAAAACCAACACTTGAATATTCATTATTAGTCAATCATTAGTTACACACCGTATTGTAATGATGCATCTTTTCTTGATTTAGTTTGTGTTATAATGTCGAAGAGATGACGTATTGTGACGTGAGAATACCTAGTGCCCAAAGGAAACTGTGAGAACATTTCCCATCTTGAACTGTTTTATCAGCAAATTGTGAATTTAATTAAACATAAATTATCTTAAATAAAGTATAATTATATTTTAATAGTTTACACACAATGATAAGTTTTGTTATTGGTAATATTTCCAGCAAAATTACTGCCCGTGTTCACACCACTGTTGGAATTGTTTTATTCCATTATCTTATTCTGAGGGCAGATTAAGTCGACTGTAGGTTCAGCAGCTGAGCGAATGTCTGCTGCACAGAGAGTTCAACATTCAGCATGTGGATCGCTATCGCTTCTGCGGTTTTGACGCAGTTTGATTCCTACTCCTGTAACCAGATTTCCACTTACTGTGTAGATGATTTCAAAGGTGGTTTTCAGGTCCACGTAGAGTCCAAAATAGATCAGGTGTCGCAGAACAGAACTGCGAAGGGATCTTTTTTCCCATTTATAAGAGCATTAAGGCAAGTGTTCGATGATACGTGTGGATAGCAACCTCTGAGAAAGGTCGACATACTTAACTTGACAGGAGCAGTTTAACTGATAGATTCCCACTGATGAAGCCGGCAGTGATAGCTTGTCCTTCAAGTTCCTGTAAATCACTGGTTTTGTAGATAAAATGGGTTGACGTTGGTCTACGGAGAAGATTCACGTCAAAGAACGTTGCACGCAGCTTCTCAGTACTTCCGCAGATCAACCTCCATTGAATTCTAGATTCAGATAGAGAAGTCTTTTAGGGGCACAATGTGTGGGTGGTCTATGTAGTTTAGGCTTCATAGATTTTATGACGAAGCGTTCAGGGTAGTAATTTCTACGGAGAATTCTCCTTAGATTATTTAGCTTCTCTTCCATGGTGACAGGGCTGCAAATGCTGCGGATTCTGTGGCTCAATGAACAGATGAGGTTCCGTTTTGTGTATAAAGGTAATATTTAATATTCAATGGTTTTTTAAGTAAATCAATAATTCATTTTTTAAAATACTATTTTATTTCATTTTCAGTGTAAATCCCAAGGGAAAGCAAGAGGCTATAGACAATGAAACGATACCTGCATTGGTTGGTCTATTGAATGATCAAAGTGAAAATGTAAAAGCTTCATCTGCTGGAGCGTTAGCCTTGTAAGTTGGATTAGGCTTTTGTATATATATATGGATATCTACTGACTCAATAATTAGTAGTTTTGGTCCTTTTAAAGGTCAAGACAATCATTATCAAACTCTTGTCGTATCATATATAGTCTAGAAAATTTTCTGTCATAGTTAAATTCAAACCATCAAATGCTCTGTTAGTGCCTCAAACCTCTATCAACTTTATTCAACAGCTATTTGACATTGCTGCATATCAAGTGATTCACAACGGATAGTTTGATAAAGACTCTGTAGTGAAGACAGGAGTAAGAGAATTCCATATTAGTTTGTTTATTAGATGTATCACACAGTGATGAAACAGTATTATTTACTGGATGACGTTTCGAACACACTTTATTGTTCAGAATCATCTCATCAATTGTAATCACACGACTTCGAAACTCCAGTTTTATAGTTTTCTTTGTCCTCTCCTATTTGTCGTCGTAGGGGTAGTTGAAGTTTCCAGATATCCGAATGGACAGGTGTTGAATCATTCCTATTACACGTATTTGCAGTTGATTCGATAAATAAAGTTTCTGTTATCAATCTCTCCTTCCACCCTGTGACATTAGATTTTAAAACTGTCATCCTATCCCATCCATCCTATTGTATGGTTGTGTGTAGTTGCATGTAGTGAGTGCTATAGCCGAACTATTCTACAAATTTCTTATCTTATTTGGGTCAACCAATCTAGATTTTGTTAGGTTTTTATGCTCGGCTAGTCTGACTGACTGCCCCTGTTCTACTAGTCTGACCTATGTATTTGACCTGACAATCATTCCAGCAGGGTATTAGATGGACTGAATTGTTTTGTTTTAAAGGCTCCACAGGGTTGATCCTTTAACCGACAAAGCTTGTTTCTAATTGAGTTCGTGGATGGTTTGAATGCCAGCCACTTTTATTGCTGCCTGCCTTGTTAAGACTTCTGCGTAAGGTTTCCGAGGTTCCTTCCTTGTATGGAATTACTACTGATGATTTGGATTCCTTATTGTTGGTGTTGTCTTGCGCATGTTTGACATGCATGTCGTCATTAATGTTATTATTATTACCACTATCATTATTTATTTTATTTTTACATTTCCCTACATACTTTCTGACTAATTTATCCGGGTAATTTTTAAATTTCAAGGCTTCTTTTATGTGTATCACTTCCCGTCTTAGATTTTCCTTGGTACTGCTTAGACTTTGTGCTCTGTAATTTAAACATTTCACCAATCCTATTTTTACTGACATAGGATGGGATGATCAGAAAGAAGTCCAAATATCTGTTTGAATGTGTGGGTTCTAATTCTTTCCAAACACATAAATTGGATTTCAGGCGTTTGATGGCGATTACCAGGACAACCCTGAGGGGAAGTGAACCATTCTGTCTATTGATAATTTTAAAGGACTTCATGTTGTCCACCTTATGACCCGTGTCGACAAAACGCCTGGCAAAACTGTCTCCTGATGATAGGAACGCCGTAAATTTTCATGAGTTTCAAGTTCAGTCATGGATGGATATCAGTTAGAGAAGCATTGAAAACAACCAAAGAGTTCTAGACAGCTGTTTCATTTTAGTTTGAAGGTGACAACAAATACTCGCCACTGATGACATTGATTGGTGCTAGTAGCTCTAAAATTAACGGGCTGACCACCGGGTTGGATCTCAGTGGCTGAATGGTCTACGAAGTTGCCTCGTGACCGGAACGTCCTGTGTTCGAAACACGGTGGGCGCGTACTGGTGACAAGCCCCTAACTAGATGAATCAGTTCACCAGTACTCCCTAATGGTTTTCAATGATTCTCTAACCCATATCAATCCATGATCAAATCCTAAACATTGTCAACAATTACTAATTTTGAAATGATGCAGAAAATATATATCTAAGGTGAGTGATTTTTTGATCTTTTCGTGTTCTTTGGTCTGGATGATTTTGAGTGAGAACAAAAACGAGGCGAAATAACGTCAAAACATTTCCCTATTTATGAACATACCTTTTTAAAAAACGCTGTAATTTTGCAGTAATTATGTCTCTAATATTTCTTTTGTAATTTACTTTTGCATTTGTAGCATATGTACAACTAACCATGGTCGATATACAACACTAAATGCTGGTGCTATCCCCTTGCTTCTTATTCTTGTTGATGATGAGAATAGTCGAGTACGTGTTAACGCTTTAAAGGTTAGTATCCAACGTGTGCTTAATACTACATCTTATTTCTCACTAAATAACTAAGAGATCTTTATGTTTGTTAGAACTGATAAATTATGACTGTGTTTCCGAATCTACCGGATTGTAATACTATAAATATAGAGACATATTTCTTAGTCCAAACAATAAAAGTATATTGAATGTTGAACGCGGTATACTCAGTCTTAGAGCCTATACCAAGGAGAAGAAAATTACTCGATTTCACCTTGTGTTGTGTATGCTGCTACTTACTGGGTATTAGGTGTTGTATTTTACCCACCTCCTGCCCCCCAAACGTCATCCAATTAACAATGCTTATTTCATAATAATAATAATAACTTTTGCTTTATTCCAAAAATGGTACTAATGATACAGCAAGGAATTTTCAACATTCAGTACAATATATTGCATCTAATTTACTCAAAACGACAAAAAATACACATTACATAATAATAATAATAAAACGATTGTTATAGCAGCTACATAGCAAAATACTGTATGCAATACGGAGAAAAATATGCATAAAATATAAAAATGTAGTAATAATAGTAATACCAGTTAAAAAAAATAGCAGAGTTATAATTAGACGATAGAAAGGGTGACACCATATAATACAGAAAGATGAACAATGAAGGGGTCGATTTACTGTGCTAATTACATAGTAACTTATGTGTTCCACGTCTAACAGAGTCTTCGTCACATAAAGTACGGGCTAAATAGGGTATTGTCGAATTTTTATACTAAGTGGTACGAGTATATAACTTCTTATATTGACTTCTCATCCTACCTGATGAGATGCAAAGGGATAGTTGTGAATAAAGAGGGTTCAGGGGGTCTGACAATACGGCCTTTGCTCATTTTGTACAGGATTTTATATGTCTCTCGGCTATAGTATTGGCAAGCTTACGCAATGGCAGACCACAAGCCCTACTCACAGCATTCAATAAATACCCTTCGTAATATGATATAGTCTTTCTTGAGAAGCCCAGGAAAGATTAATGGAGAGCAATAGAGTACAATAGGTAAAATACAGGAGTTTAAAAATTGCAAAACTAAAAGTTGTTTGATACCTGATTGTCTTAACTTTTTAATGTAGAAGGTAAGACGAAACATTTTCCTAGAGATAGATAAGATGTGGGATGACCATGAAAGGTCAGAGGAAAGAATTAATCCAAGGTATTTAATGCTTGACTTGGTTTCAGTTTCCGTGCCATCTATGCTACAGGCATCATGGGAACTAACTAGTTCATGTATGTCACGTCGATGCTTGAAAGTGAAGTGAAGTTAACTGCCTGACATTTGGAAGGATTTAACATAAGACCATTAGACTTAAACCACATGTTGATACCCAACAGAAAGCTATTAAGTCTGTAGCAGTCAGACTCGGAAGTGATAGGCAGTGATACAGTCAGATCATCTGCATATTTGGCAAACTTAGTTTCGTTTGAATGAGGCAGGCCGTGTAGGAAGAAAGAAAAAAGAAAAGGAGAGAGGACGGCACCTTGAGGAACACAATGTTTTAACTGTTTCACCCATATGTATTCTTTGACTGGGATTAAAAAGTGTCCTGCTTATGTGAAAATCCTTTAAGGATAGAAGAATCATAATTAATAATATATCGCCTGAATCACTACTATAGTTCTATCTAAGACATACTGTAATATCTTGTAATGTTTTCATTCTGTTTCGTGAAAAATAATTCCTAACAGTGGATCTGTCTGTTTTCGACATATGACTTTGCATCGATGTGCGAAAGTTCAAGTCGCCACAATCCACTCCTTGTAGAACACAAAGCGAGGGAAGAAAGTAGAACAAATGCATAATAGAGACAGTAAACAGAGGTGTGAGACAAAGCAATAGTAATAACGAAGAACAAAACAGTTTCATTGGAAATCATAAGTCACAAGGAGTAGATGCATCTGCACCAGCTACTGAGGACGATTTTGAGCCATATTACCAATTGTTTGCAGCCTTCATTGGTTTTTACCATCCCGAGGACCTCAACCAGTCAGGAAGTCTACACCTCCCTACGTGCCTGGCTTAAACTAACTGTTGTGGATTTCATTGAGTGAAGTCATGTTTTGGTTTGACGGCGGGTAGCTCTTTTCCAGCCTGACCCTATGCCAGTCACCTAACATTGCCCATTATCGAGGAAGGCGATGACTAGGCATGTGTCGTAACACATGTCCTAACCATCTCAGTCGACGTAGCTTCACAGACTCGTCGATTTATTTCCCCTCCTTACCTAGCACTCGACCAAGGCCTAACCTCAATATTGCTCACCTTGTTATACCACTTGATACGGGAGATAGAACGCAGGCACTTATGATCGAAGACAGCTAATCTTTTCATGTCTTCCACTCTCAATGGCCAGATCTCACGCACAGCCATAAAGGAGGACGGAGCGGACTGCCGAACAGTACACTCGCCCTTTGATCGATAGCTAGCCGGATATCACGTCTACGCCAGAGACGGCGTAAACTGGCATATGGGAAACTAGCCCTCTGTGTCCGTGCTAAGATTTCGTCAGAGATCAACCCTTTGGCGTTGGCTGATGGTACTTCCCAAGCAAGTGAAGTTCTACCACTTCACTTCCTATTTCTAATCTAGGAGTCGGTGTAGTCCGATTCTGTAACATCATCTTGCATTTGGCGGGAGCGAATTGCATTACAAACATTCGTAGATTGCAGCTCAAGGTGTTTAGAAGACTCTGCATTTTGTCAGCGTCCTCGCCTAGAAGAACTATATCGTCTTTATATTCTAAGTCAACGAGATTATTCCCTGGTAGCGAGTCAATCCCTGGGTCGCTGAAGTGAGTTAGCGTTGAGTGGATCAGTACATCTAACAGCTGGTTGAAAAAATGAGCCTCGGAATCCACAACATTTGAAAGTGTGACTCCATGGTGGAGGAGCTAAACACTCTAAGTAGAATTTTCTATAAAAATGACTACCTCAAAAGCTTCGTGACAAAAAATCCATGAAGCTTACAGCATTATAAAAGCGTATACACTTTCTGACTCTAAAAGACTCCTTTACCTGAATCTACAATATAGTGGAGATTAACTGGCGGAAACTACCTGTCTAATTTACTGAATAAAATCTTCTCATCAGCTGAACGTCGACGCATATGCTCTACAAAGCCAATGATTCACATGAATGTGAAGGATAAGAAACCACAGTTGGCCTTATAGTAGTGTATCTATCAGCTCACCTGCTTCTGTGGAGTTAAATATTTCGACAATGCATGGAGTTTGCTATCCAAACGCATTATCAAACTCCTATCCTGATGGTTTCATAAGTGTAGGAAAAAACCCCTTCAGAGTTGTACTCTGGAATACGTGATCGACCCTGGATTCCAAGTGAACCAGCAAAGCAGCTTCGTAGTTGTCTACAAAAGAGTGGGCATGGTTCTTTCTGAGGGAGTACGAATCAAGCTTCTCCAAACTGCAGACACGATGGCAGTTCACATTTTAAATCCCTCATTGCATATGAGGTAGAATTTGGTTCGGTTATTTAAACCTACAGTAGACTTAATCTGCCTTAATATTGGATACATAACGCTTTGCTTTTTAAAATTATGTTGTTTCTCTCCCCCCTCCCATCCTACTGTCGCAGTCGTACCCCTTAGTATCGCTGTTCTTCATTTAACTCTCTTTGAATCTGTTATTATTATTATATCCTTTAATTCCTAGAGGAACATAGGGCTTCAGCTGCGCGTCTCCATTGCCTTCGGTTTTCTGCCAACTTTTTCACCCCACTCCAAGTCTCCCCACATGCTTTCATCTCCTCTTCACATGACCCCCTCCAAGTCACCCCACCCTCACACTGACGACCAACTCGCCGCTTCCCTTTCGGCCTGGTTCCACTCGAGCGACAGCTTGTCTAGTCATGTCACTTGATGTTTTGTTCTCTCAGAGTATGGCCAATCCATCTCCATTTCTTCCTGCCTATTTGTTTCACAATCGGTTCCTCTTTGGTTCGCTCATTACCAGAGATCTCTGTTTCTGATCTTTTCTTGTCGGCCATCTGATCTTGAGTAGTATTGAGCGAAGACAACTGTCAATGAAGGTCTGTAGATTGTTTGAGATGCTCTTTATGACGCTCTGGCCAAGTCTCTTATCCATCCGTGTAGTAGCACTGAGTGACTTCACATTGGAGGTGAAAATCCGGATGTTATTTTTGATGCTGAGTAGTGGCTTGTCTTGCTTTTCCGATCCTTGCTGCTTTGATATCCTCATCAGTTCCGTCCGCCTATAGTTGAAACGATGCTTCAGATTTCTCCCATTTATGCTGATTGTTGTTGTTGCTGTGGCTGTTGGTGTTGGTCATGAATTTGCATCACCTCTGTTTTATCTATCTTTGAATCTAGTTGAGCTCTATTCAGTACCGTCAGTTAGATTCTTTTTTTCATTCCTTCACGTTCCCAGTGGAACTTAGGACTTCAAGCTAGAGGCTTAATGTTTCTGTGGCAGTGTTTATTTTTACAGAATGGGGTTGCTAGCCTCATGCCCAACCTTTCCTTTTTACCAGCATTATTTCTGGCTTAGCGAGGTAAAAGAGTGCGTCAGTGGCCGGGGATGGAATCCTGGACCATGTGCATGGTAGGCGAGAGTCCTACCCGCTATGCCACCGACGCGGTCAGTTACATTACATTCTAATAACACATCTTTGGAGAGATTCTTTCTGTGTCTAAGAAAATTTTCCATATACATATGTGCGACTGTACAGCTTAAGAATAATATCTCTGAAAAGTGTAACTCTACGCTGAAATGTCTGTTCTTTTACGCGAAACATATTTGAAGATCTACCCGAGCCTTATTGAAGATTCAAAGACATTATTTAGGTGATTTAAACAATATGAAATACGTTAAATCTAATGCATTTTAATCGATAAGAAACTAGGCAACTGATTAATATAAAATTATACTTTATTATTTATTGTCTTTCATTGCTTTTTATTAACTAAATAATGAAAATAATTAAATGACTCAAATCATTTGCTTTTTATTGATCTTCTTTTTTTAAATAGGTTATTACATGTTTATCAGAAACACCGGAAGGACGTAGGATTCTGTTAGATCATCTGAATAAAGTATGTCTGTTCTTTGTCATTTTGTATGATTTATTCTTGTATAACTTTTGATCAGATGGAAATCGATCTTCAGACGATAACTTAATCCGTCATGAAAGGGGTTTTCTTAGTAGTAATAACATCAGTCTTCTTCAGAACAATATATCTATATGTACAGCAAAGAATCGGAAGAGCAAGACAAGCTTCCATTACTCTTAAGTCTGTGTGGAGGTCAACAGCCACTACTCAGTATCAAAAATAACATCCGGATGTTCAACTCCAATGGGAGGTCAGTCAGTGCTACTCACTATACGGATGGATCAGAGACTTGGCCAGAGCGTCATAAAGAGCATCTCAAACAATCTACAGACCTTCATTTACAGTTGTCTTCGCTCAATGCTACTCAAGATCAGATGGCCGACAAGAAAAGATCAGAAACAGAGATCTCTGGTAATGAGCGAACCAAAGAGGAACCGATTGTGAAACAAATAGGCAGGAAGAAATGGAGATGGATTGGCCATACTCTGAGAGAACAAAACATCAAGTGACATGACTAGACAAGCTGTCGCTCGAGTGGAACCAGGCCGAAAGGGAAGCGGCGAGTTGGTCGTCAGTGTGAGGGTGGGGTGACTTGGAGGGGGTCATGTGAAGAGGAGATGAAAGTGTGTGGGGAGACTTGGAGTGGGGTGAAAAAGTTGGCAGAAAACCGAAGGCAATGGAGACGCGCAGCTGAAGCCCTATGTTCCTCTAGGAATTAAGGGATATAATAATAATGATACTTAGCTTGACTGATAGCGAAACATTTGCTTCTAATACGCAGTGCGTTGGTGTTCCAGTGGTAAAACGCTTACCAACCAGGCACATGTTCAGGGTTTCGATCTCTGGCCGACTCATTCCTAAACTTCCACAAGCCATTTGGTAAGCCCGATAAAGAGAGAAGATTTAGCGCGAGGCTAGCAACTTCACCTGTAAAGAAAAAGGAAAGGCATCAGAGCAACTGAAACTCTAAAACACAAAGAGTCAAGCCTTATCTCGCAGTCGGAACGCAAAGGAATAAAATACAACATTGTTTGGTCTGTTACACACTCTAACTCCCCGATGTAATTTCTCCTTCATCAAATACATAAGATTACATTAGAGGCTATGTAAAAGGTTGCGTGTGTACAGATTATAACATTCGAGCCATAAAACCAAACAAATCTAAGGCATTATGTAATATAGTGAATTAGATTGTCCAATGACCAGTGGAGACTGTCGTACTATTTTTGTTTACACAACGTATGAGTAATATTATCCCTAATATATTCACGTAAATCAGTTGTCTCCTACAATATTCTTTACTACATTTAATTTGCACGTGGTCCAACAGTTCTTCACAGTGATCAGCCCATCGTCTCCTTTCCTTCTCCTCTCCAAAGATTAGGTTCTTTTCAGTATCTTTCATTGGTTCCATCTGTCTTGATCTCTTGCCTGACAGCCACCTAGTTTCTTGGTATAGTGATTTAAGATCCCACTCACTTTCGGGTTGTTCGGCTTCTTCAGTTTTCACTGATTGTAGTAGAATTGCCCCCTGCATTTCCTAGTGCACTTCTTTACTTCCTTATTCAGTGTGTCGAAGACTAAACTCATCTACTACTTTCATGATTCCCCTATGCACCGATTCACCTGTTTCACCACTCCTGTCTCTTCTGTTGGCTTCCAGATGTCCACAGAAAGGTATTCCTTGTCTTGCCTCTTCTTTCTTCCTACATTGGCTATACAGGTTCCTTTCAACATCACTTTCAGAGAATTCCAGTGTTTTTCTACACAACTTTCCTCAGTAATGTTATACATTAGCCCCACCTTTTCTCTGATGACAGTGGTGGATGTGTATTTTGTAGGTTTGTCCAAGTGGTTTTAGGTGTTAAACTCAATTTGCGATCTGTCTCTAGCTTATTTGAAGGCTTCCAACTTGACCTTGCGTGTTCCTTGCACAAGATATTGGTTTGAACCAACATCTGATGCCCTTTCCCATCTTCAGTCCAGCGACCGGGGTCTCCACTTCCTTGAGGTAAAGATGAAGTTTATCCCATTTTTGGTATGTCCATCACGTGAAACGCGTTCTACCTTGTGCATATCCTTGTGCTGGTATATACTGCCTCTAATCACCAAATCATTGCAGTCAGAGATATCTGAGAAGAACACGCTGTTATCATTTATTTCTTTGAGAGCTTTCAGAGCCATAGGGACCAGACCGAAAGGGAGTTCTCTTCCTTCGTTGTGTGTTCATAGTTTGACATTCATATAACTTATTAGGATTTTCATGTCATCATTTAGGGTCTTTCCATTACTCTTTCTAGATATCTGTAGAATTCTTGTTTCTTTTCTTCAATAGAACTGGATAAATGTAAGTTCCCTGCCATTCGAATCGAATTTGGTTATCATTATCCTGGATGTGATTGTTTCCCAATGCATAAGAGTTTTGGATACAGTTGCTGACACCCTGATTACCACGCTCTTGGTGTTCTCGTAGTTATCATTTGGGTAACTGGAGTAGTTTATTGTCTCTCCAGTTAACAATTTGGAGAGTTCATTTCTATTCCATCTCTGTTCTCACAGATTCTAAGCACAGATATACCAGATCTTCTCATTTCTCTTACATTCAGAACAGCCTTTCCAAGCAACTTTGAACTTCTTGTGAACATTCCATGCCGTTATGCTTATATTAGCTTTCATGGAAAGAAGATACATTGACTATCTGGCTTCTCGAAGACATTCACTAACTCAAGTCATTTAGTCTCTCTCATTCCAGCGAAAAATAAGTTTTCATGGTTTATATATTTTTTTCAATGAAGTGAAATTACTGTAATGACTGAAGTGATTCCTGGTGTAGGATCGCCAGCCAAACACCCAACCTTCTCTGATTATTCCGGTTTATAATCGGCTAGAAAACAAAGTGCTTAATAGCGTCATACTCTTGGCTGTTGAGTGGAAAACTGCAGTGGAAAGAGATGAGTTGGACATGCGCCCGAGAGTGATATGGGGCACATCGTATGAGAAGGAAATAGAATCGCATAGTCCAGCGTGAAGCCAGCTAAAAAAGAATACAGAGAACACGGTGTTTTGTTTTGTGTTCCACTGGGAACCTAAGCGACTCATAATAATAATGTAATCTAAGACCAAGTGTGTAAAAACATATTTTTATGGGGTTACGAGCATATAATTCAGTACTGACTGACGGTGTAATCCTAGGCGTATATTCTGTTCAGCTTAAGAAGTTTTAACTGAAATCAGAGACGGAATAATTAATTATCATCTAATTGACCATATGAATGACAATGGGCCTCCATCGTAACATAACAGTTCCAACCTTATTATCCACTTAGGTTTAAACTACTCAATAACTGCAAACTAGCAAGAAACGACTGTTGAATACCCCATAATCTTCACTGTTTCTCTAGCTGACAGAATGTTTTGTTGAGAAAATCAACTAATATAAGAATTACTGTCCAGTGTCCCGTGGTTTGTGAATGATTCTTTAACTAATTTCTCGACTGATGACACAACATCCTTACTGGAATTAATCGAAATCCCGTACGAAGTCGAAACTGCTTAAAATCAACTATATTAGGAATATGATGTTAAAAATAAACAATTTCGATATTATTATTAGCATTATATCCTTTAATTCCTAGAGGAACATAAAGATTCAGCCAAACGTCTCCATTGTCTTCGGTTTTCTGCCAACATTTTCACCCCGCTACAAGTCTCCCCACACACTTTCATCTCCTCTTCACATGACCCCCTCCAAGTCACCCCACCCTCCTACTGACGACCAACTCGCCGCTTCCCTTTCGGCCTGGTTCCACTCGAGCGACAGCTTGTCTAGTCATGTCACTTGATGTTTTGTTCTCTCAGAGTATGGCCAATCCATCTCCATTTCTTCCTGCCTATTTGCTTCACAATCGGTTCCTTGTGGGTTGGTTCGCTCATTGCCAGAGATCCCTCCCTGTTGCTGATCTTTTCTTGTCGGCCATCTGATCTTGAGTAGCATTGAGCGAAGACAACTGTTAATGAAGGTCTGTAGATTGTTTGAGATGCTGTTTATGACGCTCTGGCCAAGTCTCTGATCCATCCGTATAGTAGCACTGAGTGACTTCACATTGGAGTTGAACATCCGGATGTTATTTTTGATGCTGAGTAGTGGCTGTTGACCTCCACACAGACTTAGGAGTAATGGAAGCTTGTCTTCCTCTTCCGATTCTGGCTTTGATATGCTCGTCAGTTCCATGGGCTTGTAGTTGAAACGATGCTTCCCAGGTAGGTGGGTAGGTGAAGGAGGTTGTTTCTTTCAGGTTCCTCCCATTTATACTGGCTGATTGTTGTCTGTTGTTGTTGTTGTTGTTGCTGTTAGCGTTGGCCAGGAATCTTCTTCACCTAACTCTGTTTTCTCTCTGATCACCAGAAGTCTTATCTTTGATGCTTGTTGTGCCAGCTTGTTGCTTCCCACTTGCACATCTTCCAATTTGTGGGAAATCAGACCCACAAAATGCGGAACAGTTAGTTATAGGTATTGATAGTCAACAAGATTATATCCAGAGGTTTAGTGTTCGAAAGTAAAGGGATTGCAATAATTTCCAAAACTTCGTGGTGAGAAACACCAGAGAAATGAGAGTTTTATGTAACTAAGCAATTGTAGCGCACTAATCGAAAAGCCTCGACATAATTTAATTCATTTTTTTAAAAAAATTTTCCAATAATTTTTAGATATCTCCACACGAAAATGACATGAATGCAGCTGTAGCCAAGCATGCCAGGATAGCGGTATCTGTTATCACTTGGAAGCCATAGTATAATTGAATAGTGTGCTTGGTAGTCAAAACGGAAGAGACTAAAGAATTCTTGCCATGATAATTAGATCAATAGAAGTTACGTATTCTTATAAAATGGATGAAAAGCAAAAGACGTCTCAGTTATAAAACAATATATATGCACATATGTGTTGCGTAATAACCTTTCATTTCAAAAAAGTGATATTTCTTTAATTGACAAAGTAAAATAATTTCTGCAGTGCTTTTTGTTCTGAAAGAGATCCGTTGTATATTTGTGTATGACTTTTTTTCCTACAAATTTTTAATTGTCACGTAAATTTCTTCACAAGCTGGCATTATGTGGAGAGACTTTTGAAAACTAGGAGGTACTGGGCGACTGTTTCGTCCTAGTTCGGCACCCCGTCCCCCCCCAGAAAAACACTCCTGCTGGGGTTCGAGCCTAGGAATTTCCGGTCAAAACACGAGGCTGTAAGCCATTCAATCATCGGAACCAAGTGCAATGTACCATGAATTCCATCTTTTGCAAATTCGTGAAATATATCGCAACTAGTAAGAAGGATGAATGTCACTATCCATGTCTTAGAAAAAGTTTATGAGGAGGATAGATAACTAGTTCCTGTGCTTCAATCTATGGAAACTGAAAGAGATCTACAAAATCAGAGGAAACACTCATTCGTTATTAACATCATAGAATTAATTTCGTTTCTAAGTGTCCACAGAAGGAAAAGCATATTTGACCTACACAATAGGAAGACGTAGTTTATCTGAAACGTGTAATGTATTGGCGCAACACATTTCGGACAACATTCTGATCACACACGCACGAGTACTTGTCATACACAGCTTTTATAGAAGGTAAGAAGGCATGAATAATTACAATACAATACAGGTCAGATTGTGTACAGGTCAAGGTGACAAATCATGGGTAGGGAGACGCATAGGTGTGGGTAAGAAAGAAAAAGAGAAAAACAAAGCAAAGAAGGGATTGAAAATATTCTGAAGTAAATTGAACCTTGGTTGTAAATTGGATCACCAAGACAGGTTTAAGGTGATAACAAATAACTTTTGGACGCATAAGAGACAGGTTTAAATCTTTTTATGGCTAAGGCTTCAATGAATTTAAGTATGTGGCCCAACCTTGTTTTATATATCGGCCTAAAGGCTTTGTTAAAATCAACCTTATGACCCGTTTCTATAATATGTTTTGCTATAGATGATGTTGAACATCAATTTCCGGGGTCACCTGTGTCTGGCGATTTTATTTGTTGTTGCAGACATTTTGGAATGTGTTCTGTAGCCCTAACCTTCAGAGACCGATGGGTTCTCCATATGTACGTGTCTCCACACATGCATGTAAACTGATAAACACAGTGGGATGTGACACTATCGTTCGGATAATGTGAGCGTTTACAGGATGGCATAATTCTCGTTTTCTCTATGAAGATAAGTTCAACTGCATAATAAATTCTATTAATTGCGGCCTTGAGTCTTTGTTGATCACCTCTGAATGCCAAGGATATGTAAACATCCTTTTTTGAGAGCTGACTGGATTGGCAGAGCTCTATGATGGTTGATACTTCCATAACGCCTAATAATCTCAGTGGGTAATTGTTATCTAACAATATTTCACTGAGGTGTTGTCTTTCTTCTTCAGTTGTATCAGCAGTACATATATGGTGAATGCGCTCGAACAAACGCCTAACCAACACCTTTTTATACTCTAGTGGAGAGAAACAATGATAATTCAGATACTGTCCCGTCCATGTGGACTTTCTGTAGACAGGTCGTTTTAGTGACCCATCTTCTCGGCGGGTTATAAGTATATCTAAAAATGGCAGGCAACCATTATTTTTTTTAGCGTATGTTAGCGATATACTGTTTTGTACTCTGTTGATCTGGTTCAGGATTTCTATGGCGTCTGTCGGTTCATCACAAATGACTATTATGTCATCTATATTTCTCTTATAAAAATAAACTTTTCCAATTTCTTCCTCCACTAGGTTCTTGATATGCGATATACATATATATATATATCAGCTAACAATAGACCACATACTTAAATTCATTGAAGCCTTAGCCATAAAAAGATTTAAACCTGTCTCTTATGCGTCCAAAAGTTATTTGTTATCACCTTAAACCTGTCTTGGTGATCCAATTTACAACCAAGGTTCAATTTACTTCAGAATATTTTCAATCCCTTCTTTGCTTTGTTTTTCTCTTTTTCTTTCTTACCCACACCTATGCGTCTCCCTACCCATGATTTGTCACCTTGACCTGTACACAATCTGACCTGTATTGTATTGTAATTATTCATGCCTTCTTACCTTCTATAAAAGCTGTGTATGACAAGTACTCGTGCGTGTGTGATCAGAATGTTGTCCGAAATGTGTTGCGCCAATACATTACACGTTTCAGATAAACTACGTCTTATTATTGTGTTGTCTAAATTAATAAATGGTACTAATTGCTTTAAATATTTGACCTATTTAGATTAAGCGATTTGTGAGGGTTCTAGTAAATTTCATTAATCAGATCAGTTCGGCATCTTCGAAAACTGGAGAGTACTGCACATGTATTTCGTTCGATCTTGGGACTCTTCAACGGCGCCGCCACGTTTCGAACCTGGGACCTTCAGGTTATGAGACCAAATTTGTTGACTATTTAGCCACCTAGACCGGAATTCAGGGATGTGTGAATTCCAACTTTGTCATTTCGTCATATAGAGGTACACTCGAACAATGCCTTCTTCTTCTTCTTTGAACTTCCACTTCGCCTAGACATGGGGGACCCGACTAGTCGCGTGACAGAACAACTCTCCACTGCTTCTTGGTTGATTCATGACGAAATCTACACTGAAATTTATCTAAATCCCTACTATAATCCATTGTCTCGACATAAAGTTTCACTCTGGATGGAATCGACTATTTTATTGCCTTATTGTATTTTCGCGCTTGAGTTGGTTATTTTGTTTTTCTCACCTACGTGGAGCTTCCCTAAGAAAGTTAAACTTGTAAATGATGAGAAAAAAGGGAAGGGAAAAAGATTTTTGTTATTAGAAATTCAGCATGAATCCTTGAATTGGGATATTTTGCATAATTCATCATTTCCTAACTTGTGAACAGCAAGTCTTTACATTAGTATTGTAATAATAGAAGATAAAACACGGAAGACAAGGTATATTTTCCATTAATCAAACCGCTGTTTATATATCTACAGTTTATATTCGTTAAATAATCAATCATCGAGCTTGTGATTTTGGTTTACATCAAAAGACAAGATATAGAATGTTCAAATATACATAGTTTTCAAGTGTTGGTTTGTAGGAATTTGATTGGTTTTCAGGATTTCATCATGAGCTGACATGAATCAGAGAACCATTGGAAAACCAGTGCGGAGTACTGGACATCTGTTTCGTCCTAGTTTGGTACTCTTCATCAGTACGCACCCACCACAACTGGGTTCCAACCCAGGACCTTCTGGTTACAAGGCTAGCGAGCTCGTAGACCATTAAGTCACTAGGACCTGATCCACCGACAATTCCATGAATTCTAACTTCTGCCAATTAACGACATAGCTCGACCCCTAGCCAATGTCATCTATGGCGAGTATTTGTCCTCACAACCGACCGGCTGCTGTTGCCAATGAAGTATTGAGCTGTGTGTGTGTGTGTGTGGTGGGGGGAAGTATTCAGTCTCTAGCATTAAATAGAAGGTTCAAACAGATACATCGTATTCTGTTGTTAATGCTGAATTGAACTGTGGAAAGAGGTGAGAATAACTGTTCCGTTGGCACACATTGTCTGCATCACACCAACACAGTATGAATGTCACCATGTGTATTAAAGTCTTGTGAGAGTTGACTACGAAAGTGTTTGTTTAAATATTCTAGTTTTCCTAGTGGTCTAATATTTTCCTTCTTGACCTTTATTGTGTTGCTTCTTATTGAATATCTGAGCTGAGAGATCTCTCCGTCAGCTAGCTGGCTTCTGGTATGTTCATGAAAAATATTCAACTTATAAGTCTATTTAACTGTCTTATTTCAACAATGTGTACTTAATATAGTTGCTCTCAGTTAAATTATCTCTGTGATAAGTGCTGTAAGATAACTAACACAATGTGAGTCAGCGAGTGGGAAATACAAAAAAAAGGAGAAGAAGAGTAGTCTCTATGAAATTTAAAACCAAAATAGTGTTTCTTTTCAACACTAGACAGTAGAATCAATTATATTACAGACCTAATGCTTAAATAGTTGACTCATTAATGAATCAAAATTTGTGATCTTTTAAACATTTACTATTTCAATGGTGAGTTAGTTCGAAATATATATTTAGATGCAGCTATCGTTTTTAAAAGAAGGAATCGGTAGGAAACCCTATAGTCTCGTTTTGTACTTCGTGGAATTCGTCAGCAAAGCGTATCTCTACAAAACCCGTCGAAGATTTAAGCTCAGGTCATCAAATTTTGCAGTCAGAGATTCTAACAGTGAAATATTCAGAGGGATGATCTTATGGCACGAGATTTCACCAATGTCAAGATTTCCAACCTGACACAAGGAATGACTATCATGAATATCAGTATTATTCTTACAAATCTATCCCTTAACTTTCCGGATAGTTACATAAAAACGTATTTTAATGAGAGTAGTGAGTCAGTGGTTAAATGGTTGAATGCTTACCAGAGCTATGTGATCTGAGTTCTGTTCACAGTTGATGCACCCCTAAACCCCGCCTATAATACTGACGATAGGCAGCAGAAGGCCAGGAAACGATGGAAGGTTGTGCACGGAGCTAGTGACCATACTTCGTAAAATAAAGCAGCCCTACAACTAATGAAGATTCCTTTAACCATACTGCCAAGTGTACCAGTTGAATTGATGCATAGAAGATTACGTGTGCGTCGGTGGCACAGTTTCGTTAGGACTCTCGCCGACCATCCACATGGTCTGAGGTTCGAGCCCCCACCGACGCACACCTGATATCTATGGTCGGCCTGTGAAATTTGGGCTACCGATATCCATGCTGAAAATTCCATACTTGTAATCAAAATACAGTGTGGAATCAAGCTGTAATCAAAAATAAAAAATAAATAAAAACCCGACTTATTTCATTTTTCATTGTAAGAGCAGAGTTTCATCACTCTGGAGAGTAAGTTTATGTAAGATAACGCATAGTAGTACAGTACTATTAACTACACTTTTTTCTGACTTGCTATCACTGTAACAACATAAGACAAGGGCCGGCAACAGATCGTTTTATTACGGAAAGCAGCACGTATTTATATATATATTTTTCATGTACATTATTATAGCTTATTCAAGTAGACAAACACAGTCTTCTGATTGGTTGTTTTCGGATTTCTGGGAAAGTGAGACCATCTATATGCAAATCTTATTTGCCCACGTTAGGTCTGCTCTGATTGGTTGTTGAATCAGTCTTGTTCATATTTTCCCACGGCCAATATTAGTGACCTAGACATTGACGTAGATTAATGTCTACCAATGGGCTAGCAGCCTGCTCTCACCACATCACTACCGGGTGTGTAGAGAAAAGTGAGTCACAGTTCACCAGCTATAAATGTTCCCTGAACTGACTTCCTTAGCTTGGTAATTACCATTTCACTGGATATATTCAAGGGCACAGAGGCTTCTTGCTGACGAAGCTGATATATATTTCTTTCCTATCCTCGTAGTTCAGTGTTTTCTTACGACAATTCTCCGATTAAGTGTTCTCAGTCAGTGTATTTTACGCAGTCTTTAGTTCATTGTCATTCACATTTTTCGAAATATTACTCTCACCTTATAGCTGGGTGTCTTTGCCAAATTATATGGGTACTATTGAACAATGAGTACTAAGGAAATAAGATTCAGAATAACCTATTTCAAAATGAAATTTACCTCTGTGATTTAGTGAAAATTGTTTTGGCGCATATTTGAATTACTTCAAATACTTTCTTATAGGGTACATCTTTCACCGTGTTTATTTCAAAGACTGACTAACTACTCAAGTTGCTCATCCATGTAGTCATGATTAGTCGCGCCTTGTTGTTAGAGTGTTATTGTTTAGCCACTTGGTAGAAAATAAATGCAATATATTTCCTAAAGTTTGTATTATAGTGGTTTGTTTATAGACTACTTCGGAGCGACGTCAAAGATAGACTTCTGCATATGACCACTTCAATGCGCATATATCAGTTCACCTGCTCTTGCGGAGCTAGGTACATAGGTTGTTCTATGTGGGACTTATCAAAACGTGTTAGAGAACATCATCCAGCATGGCTGCAAAGAAGAGGCACTGGTTCAACTAGATGTGACATAACTGAAAACCTCGTCAATACCTGTCACAACGTCTCAACTAACTCATCATTCAGAGTCATTTACAAAGTAAACAAAAATCTACCAAAGGCAGTGCGTTTCAGACTTCTTTGTACTGCGGAAGCTCTCGCCGTATGCATCGAAAAGCCGGAGCAATGTGTTCAAAGGAAACTAGTCCAGCCTTTACAACTAACATGGACCTAGTACGGTATTTTCCCTTGACTATTTTGTTTTTGGTTTTTCGTTTTGTTCTCTGTGTGTGTGTGTGTGTAATTTTCTCTCTTTGTCTTCATTCAATTCATCCCATTTTTTCAGTTATAAAATCAGTTGTTTTAAGTTTGTTTCCATACTCCTGCTGATCACACTTGTCATCCGATTAGAAGAACCATTTTACAATTATATTCTAATCCTGTGTAATTTTTTGTCTCTAAAGCCTCTTGTAATTCGTATCAAGTTGAAAATGATTATCACCTTCGTTACTATGTGGAATTAAGCAAATAATAATTGTATTCATGTAAACTAGTCTATATAAGGGCGATGGTACAGGTACTTTTGAGAATGAAATCGCCGAAAAGATCTCCATCTCTGCTGAACTTCTTGTTCTTTTCAATCTAATGTTCCGATGGGTATTTTCCGTGATTTGATAATTGACTAATGTCATGAACGATATCGTAACAGACAGACTCCAAGATTGCATTTCAGTCAATCTGCATATAATAAGCCACTATACAAAGACGTTAAACTCACATTTTTGTATGTAAACAACGTAAATGTGTCAACTAAGTTATACTAGTACTGATGAATGATGCTGTTAAAAGGAAGTTGGAATATATGTATAATAGCACTTTCATATTCTGATTACATCAACAAACAACATCAACAACAAGAACAACAACCAGCACCAATCATCATTCATTGGAGACACTTGACAGAGGCTACCTCGTTCACTTATCTAAGAAGCATCGCTTCAACTAGAGGCGACTGCATGGATGAAGTTGTCAAAGTCAGCCAGCCAGCCAGCCAGCCAGAATCGGAAAGGTGAGATACGCCTTCATCAACCTGAAACCACTTTTGAAATCTTCTGGCGTCACTCAGTATAAGGAACAAAATCAGGATTTTCAACACAGATGTGAAGTCAGTCAGTTGGTGTTTCTATACAAGTCAAAAATTCGCACTGTGCGCCACAAAAAGCATTACCACCAGGCTATTGCAAAGCTTTATCAACAACTGCTCGCATCGTTGGCTGGCTTCATTATTATGATTATTTATTGTTATTTCCTTTAATTCCTAAGGAACATTGGGCTTCAGGCAAACGTCTCCATTGAGTTCGGTCTTCTGCCAACGTTTTCACCCCTCCTCCAAGTCTCCCCACATGCTTTCATCTCCTCTTCACATGACCTCCTCCAAGTCACCCCACCCTCGTACTGACGACCAACTCGCCGCTTCCCTTTCAGGTTCCACTCGAGCGATGGCTTGTCTAGTGATGTCACCTGATGGTTTGTTCTCTCAGAGTATGGCCAATCCATCTCCATTTCTTCCTGTCTATTTGTTTCACAATCGGCTCCTGGTTGGTTTGCTCAGTGCCAGATATCCCTGTTATTGATGTTTTCTGGCCGACCGACCATCTGATCTCGAGTATTGAGCGAAGACAACTGTTAATGAAGGTCTGTATTTGGTTTGAGGTGCTCTTTATGACGCGCCAGGTCTCTGATCCGGATGTTATTTTTGATTCTGAGTAGTGGCTGTTGACCTCCACACAGACTTGAGAGTAATGAAAGCTTGTCTTGCTTTTCCGATCCTTGCTTTGATATGCTCATCAGTTCCATCCTTCTGTAGTTGAAACGATGCTTCCCAGGTAGGTGGGTAGGTGAAGGAGGTTGTTTCTTTCAGGTTCCTCCCATTTATAGCTGATTGTTGTCTGTTGTTGTTGCTGTTAGTGTTGGCCAGGAATCTTCATCACCTAACTCTGTTTTATCTATGTTCAACTCAAGTCCTATCTTCTCTGGTTGTTTCTTCTGTCAACTTGTTGCTTTTCACTTGCATATCTTTCAGTTTGTGGGAAATCAGACATATGTCACCATTGGCGAAGTCCAGATCCTCCAAGTACTTTTTTGTGTGAGTCCATTTTATGCCTGTTTCCTCGTTACTCGCTCTGTGTCTGTCGCATTATCCAATCTACTGCAATCAGGAAAATCATTGGAGATAGTAGGCAGCCAGACAGCCTTGTCTCACTCCCGTCCTCACTTCGAAGGAATCCATGAGTTTCCCACTGTGTATTATTTGGCACAAAGCATTGTCGTACAACTGTTGGATGAGATATATAATTGTCGATGGCACTTCGTAGTTGACAAATGACCTCTCAATCGACGCTGTCGAAGGCCTATACAAAGTCCATGAAGTTCAGTGTGATAGAGAGATGACTGCCATTCCTAGCTTTGTTCAATGATGATCCGTAGTGTGGCGATTTGATCAAATGGCCATCCGGCAAGAAAGAATTAATAACAAAAAACTCTAGCTGGGAAGAAACCAACCAAGAGCCGATCGCTCAACAAATATGCAGGAGAATATGGAGATTGATGTGGCATACACCATTGAGGAGGCCGCCGAATGAAATCGCGCAAAGTGCAGGTCATCAATCCAGTGGAATCCGAATGGGAAGTGACATGTAGGAGATGGGAGATTATAGGTGACCCTGGACCCACCTGAAGAGGATAGTAGAAAATAAAGTGGAAATGTATTGTTGAAGCCCTATGTTCCACTTGAAACCCAAGGGAATAATAATAATGACAAAACTTATGTAACCACTGTCTCAAAATGATGCTTTCAATTTTCGTGGCGTCTATAAACTACTGACAAATCTTGTCAGTAGCACACGTCACGCCAATGATTCTCAATTCATGATTAAAAACCTACTTTCAGACCGATTACGATCACCTAAAAGACCCATCATACGAAAAGTATTTATTTCATCATAACACAGATCATTTACTCATTTTAAACCTTTACAAACTCTGAGTAACACGCTTTCACCTCACGTCTGATATAACTATGTATATTATCATAAAGATAGTTTTTGCTAAAGACAGTTAGTTCTAGTCATATTACGTGTAGTGACACATATCTGTGTTCAATAAAAAAACGATCAATATCGTGCAGAAAAAAGATTTAAAAAGAAAAATTTAAATATTTTCTTGCCGACTACAAGCTTCTATTTTGTTTCTTTGGTCGAGAAAAGTATTTTTTGTCGAAAATACTTTCTAGTGGCAGACATTGCATAGTTCGGTGACAGACTGAAATAAAAGAAAAGCAGACAAAGTTATTATACAAGAATAAAACTTGTACACTGTGGTAGAGTATAGTTCCATTATGAGTTATATTTATTTGTCATCTCAACGTTATGATATGATATGATTATGAGCAGTAATAAAACTGTGCTCGAAACGTGATCATCAGTAAATATTACTACTGTATAACAAACACTGTGAGACTTTATTAAAATAAATTTTACCCATAATGGAGTTAGACAAATTTAATTATAGAAATACAATTCACATGATGTATAAACTCAAAGATATACAAGTGAAATATCATGCCTAAGTAAATTAATGAGATGACTAATTTGTATGAATTCGATTAATTTTTGTTTAATATTTCGTCACAAAACTATTGAAAATTGAACAGTCATTTAAAAGCTAGACAGTGCTTCTGAATTTGGACTCTTTAGTAGTGCTTATTGTGATAACTACTTTATTTGTTGAATATACAAGCTTAATGTGATTGACTAGAGCAGATTATTACTTAGCCGATAAGATCGGATCCAATGAACCATGGATTTTGTCTGCTGTTGCCTTAAAATTTAGCGCTAATAAAAACTAGTTCATATTAATCTATATTAGTTTGTTTATTAGATGTATCACACAGTGATGAAACAGTATTATTTACTGGATGACAAAGTTTCGAACAAAATTTATTGTTCATAATCATCTCTTCAATTGTAGTCACACGACTTTGAAACTCGAGTTTTATAGTTTTCTTTGTCCTCTCCTATTTGTCGTCGTAGGGGTAGTAGAATTTTCCAGATGTCCAGCTGGACAGGTGATGAATCTTTCCTATTACATGTATTTTCAGTTGATTCGATAAACAAAGCTTCTGTTATCAATCTCTCCCTCCACCCTGTAACATTACATTTTAAAACTGTCATCCTATCCCATCCATCCTATTGTATGGTTGTGTGTAATTGCATGTAATGCTATGGCTGAACTATTCTCTAGATTTCTTATCTTATTTGGGTCAACCAATCTAGATTTTGTTAGGTTTTTATGCTCCGCTAGTCTGACTGCCTCTGTTCTACTAGTTTGACCTATGTATTTGACCTGACAATCATTCCAGCAGGGTATTAGGTGGACTGAATTGTTTTGTTTTAAAAGCTCCACAGGATTGATCCTTTAACCGACAAAGCTTGTTTCTAATTGAGTTTGTGGATGGTTTGAATGCCAGCCACTTTTATTGCTGCCTGCCTTGTTAAGACTTCTGTGTAAGGTTTCCGAGGTTCCTTCCTTGTATGGTATTACTACTGATGATTTAGATTCCTTATTGTTGGTGTTGTCATTATTCTGTGCATGTTTGACATGTATGTCATCATTAATATTCTAATTATTACCACTATCATTATTTATTTTATTTTTACGTTTTCCTGCATACTTTCTGACTAATTTATCAGGGTAATTATTAAGTTTCAAGGCTTCTTTTATGTGTATCACTTCCCGTCTTAGATTTTCATTGGTACTACTTAGTTTTTGTGCTCTGTCACCTAAACGTTTAACCAATCCTATTTTTACTGACATAGGATGGGATGATCGGAAGTCCAAATATCTGTTTGAATATGTGGGTTTCCTATAAACACTAGTGTGTTTAACTTTTCATCTTCTTTCCTTTTTACGCTACAATCTAACATTGGAAGTTCCCCTTCCTGACTTTCCAATTCATAAGTGAATTGAATTGGTTCTACACTTGAGTTAATGTGTTCGAAAAATCTATCCACATCCTGTGTTCTAAATACAGTGAATGTGTCATCTACATTCCTCCACCATACTTTCGTAGTGAGGCTGAACGTTTCAGTGAGACTAGCGGAGCATAGAAACCTGGCAAAATCTAGATTGGTTGACCCAAATAAGATAAGAAATCTAGAGAATAGTTCAGCTATAGCACTACATGCAATTACACACAACCATACAATAGGATAGATGGGATAGGATGACAGTTATAAAATGTAATGTCACAGGGTGGAGGGAGAGATTGATAACAGAAGCTTTGTTTATCGAATCAACTGAAAATACATGTAATAGGAAAGATTCATCACCTGTCCAGCTGGACATCTGGAAAATTCTACTACCCTACGACGACAAATAGGAGAGGACAAAGAAAACTATAAAACTCGAGTTTCAAAGTCGTGTGAATACAATTGGAGATGATTATGAACAATAAATTTTGTTCGAAACTTTGTCATCCAGTAAATAATACTGTTTCATCACTGTGTGATACATCTAATAAACAAACTAATATGGAATTACTTAGTACCACAATTCCCAAGTTTGACACATATAGTTCATATTGTTGGTGAGTATCTATTTACACCTACGACTGTGAGAACCCTACTGGTTACCATTTCTTCGTAGGACTTCATAACGTCATCCTGAATGCAGTCATTATTGATCAAGAAGTTGATTTAAAAATATATTATGCATGTGGGAATACTATCCTTTTGAATGCAGATTCCATACTAGACGAGGCAGTAATTCATCCGAAGAAGACATTACGAATGGTCGCGCTATGTTGTGAATTGGCAGAAGTTAGAATTCATGGACTTGCCAATGGATCAGGTCCCAGTGGCTCAATGGTTTACAAGTTAGCTGGCTCTCCCACCTTGTAACCAGAAGGTCCTGGGTTCAAATCCTGGCGGTGGGTGCGTACTGATGAAGAGTCCTTAAAACTAGGACGGAGGAGACAGCTGTCTGGCAGTACTCCCCGCTGGTTTTCTAATGGTTCTCTAACCGATGTCAGCTCATGATGAAATTCTCTATGTACTCAAACAAAATCCCTATATAAAACCAATACTTGAAAACTAGTAAATATCATTTAAAATCCTTGGGAGCTCTGGACACCTACACTGAGAAACAAGAGTTTTCATTTGATTTTTTCCTATTCTTCCTTGAGGATGGGCTTAAGTAACTTTTTTAATTATTATTATGATTGGAACGGACATCAGTTGGACGACACACCAGTGGTATTATAGATTTAGGTTGTCCTTTTTTGGTTGTTTGACAGGAAATTTCCTTCTTCTGTTCAGCAGGTACCCTACTTTCCTTCTAAATCTCTTCCACTAGTGAGATGATCATGTGCTCTGAGGTCTGTGTGTCCGTTTTCAGTGTTTCTGGAGGAAGTTCATGTGGTCTTACTGCTTTTTCAGCTTTCAAAACTTCTGCTTTCTTCGGATGAGTAGTAGTCTTGAGTAGTTCTGTCTCCTGATGATACTTCTCGATAGATTGTGCTGGCAGTACTCGGTCAAAAATTGATCTGTTTAACGTTTCTTTAGTTTCCTACGTATGGCAAATGGGTTTGCCTCACTGTCTTTCACTGACTTCAGTGCATGTTGTACACCGAACTCAGCTACTCCTTCCGTTGTCCATCTTTGCACTGGTTTATCCTGTGTTTCACTATCCTTCTCTCCTCAATTAGCTTCTCCGTATCTATGGACAACCATTCCTTGCCCTGCTTTTTCTTCCTTCCTAAAATGTCCATAAGGGTTTCAGTAGGTTTCAGTGTTCTTTCACATAGATTTCCTTGTTAATTTTGTTTAACGTTCGCAACTTTTCCTATGGTGATTGCAATAAAACTATCCTTTGTCTTTTCATCTTTCAATTTCCTTGATGTTGAATTTGAATTATGATCTTTCTCCAGTCATTCCTCTTCTCTCTCTCTTCTTTTGTCTAGCAGACTGTATCTCCACTTTCTTAGATTTCAGATGAGGTTTGTCTGACTTTAAGTGTGTCCAACAGATCAAATCTGTGTCACCTTGTGTATACTCTTCTACGCGTGGACGTTACCATCAGTCAGCAATGTATAAATATATGATGAAGTAAGTCGAAGTGTCCAGTTATGTGCTATTTATCCTAGATTCTTCAAGCTTATTCTTAAATGAACCCTCAGACGTGTTAGACAGTTTCTTACAGCTAGACAGCCAATATGGTAAAGCAGTTCGTTTATTTTCGATCATAGATGTCTGCGATCTCTTTCTCACGTTAGGTGGTGGTATTATAAGGTAAGTAATCTTGACGTTAGGCGTAGAGTGTTGGGTAAAGAGGGAAAATCAATCGACGAGGCTATAAAGTTACATAGATTGAAATGGCTAGGTCACGTGCTGCGCATGCCTAACCACCGCCTCCCCCGACGGGCATTGCTAGCTGATATAGGTGCGGGTCGGAAAAGAGCCAGTGGTGGCCAAACAAAAACATGGCCTCATCAATCCATGAAATCATTGACAGTTAAACTGAGTGAGGTAGGGAGATGCAGACTTCCGGGTTGGGGCCCTCGTGGCTCTAGGAATCAATCAATGGCTGGAGACAATAGGTGACATGGCTCAAAATCGTTGTCAATGGCCAGCTCAGATGTATTCAGTCTCTGTAATCTTTCATATTCCTTTCTACCATTACCCATTCTGTTTCGCTCTTATACTTGTCAAACTCTATTGATTCTCTTCACTCATCTTCTTGTCTACCTCTGTGTGCTATTTGGAACGTGGCAACTCGATCTGCTGCACTTGGGTGCCAAGTTCTATGTTGAATCCAGACAGACAGACAGACAGTTCGTTTATATGTTTATGTCTATTAAGTAGTGCTTTAGTCGGAATAATGAAGACAATTTCCATGTTAATAACACCTAGCCAGTAGTTATTTGAGCTTAACACCTGAGTAACAATCTCATGTTCACTACTGACCGGTTTTCCAATGAATGCCATCATAATTCCTTATGAAGTAGTAGTAAGGTGGGTCTTTTCTATGTTAGGTATGGGAACACCTAACTATACTGCCAGCTGACTAGAGCTAAAATTCCCCTCCCCTGTTCAGTGGATTCTGCTTTGATGGCTGAGAGATGAGATATACTTGTCTCATTATGAGTGAATTTTGCGTATTTGTTCGCCTGTTGGGTCGTGGGTGACAATCATTAGAATTAGACGTCTCATGCTGAATGCTTTCTGAAGATTCTTTAAATAGTATGTCGACTGATGATAAAATTACAAAAAAGAGGGAGAATACAAAATGACAGAGAAATTTTCATTGAAGTAGACAAACTAGTCTAGGATATCGTAAAATTTACTTACATTTTTAAGATAGCCATTAGGCGAACAATACGAGGAATGTAAACAACTGACTTGTTCTGAAGAACACCGTCTACAATCTGTCTGGCACATTCATCTGGTTCTAACAGTGGGAGTAATGGAGATTTCCTGTGTTTAGAAGACACAACCAATAATAAAAGTGAAGAAGTGAAGAAAGTTTCTAGAATCAGGCATTAAAATCAAATGGAACACACTAATAGAAATTTATATACGTACCTACCAGAATAATGTTGTTGAATTTGTTAATAGCGTTAATGATATTAATGTTAGTGGGAAACTGTGTTACCACTTGAAGTATGCTTACTTTTTACCAATGTTCCATTAAAAATGGAACTGTATGTCTGATTTGTAATTACATAGACTTAGATAATGTCAACGTAGGAATGCCCACAGCATACCCAAAAGAGCTCATACTTCGATGTACTTTAAGTGTCCAAATTTATTTTCAGCGGCGAAATGTATAGACAGAGAGAGATGGAGTATCTATGGGTTCGCCACCTGGTCTGTTGCTAGCAGATTTCTTTTTGGCTAGTACGGAGAGCGGTACTCTAAAGCATCCTATAAAAGAGCTTAACTCCTGCAAAAATACGTGGATGACATGTTCATTATATGCGATGAGAACTACGACTTGGATAATATCTTGAGCGTATTCAATGACCGTCATCCTGACTTAATGTGATACTCACAAGGAGAGTTGATAGGTCTTTGCAAAGATCTGTTAACAGAAAATCGACATGGGCAGGACAAGTGACCAATTTTTACAGTTTTGTTCATGTAGCACACAAAGCAAGAGAAGAAAGTAGAAGAAATGCATACTAGAGACAGTAAACAGAGGTGTGAGACAAAGGAATAGTAGTAACGAAGAACAAAACAGTTTCATTGGAAATCATAAGTCATAAGGAGTGGATGCATCTGAACCATCCATTGAGAACGATTTTGAGCCATATTACCAATTGTTTCCAGCCTTCATTGGTTTTTACCGTCCTGAGGACCCCAACCAGTGTGGAAGTCTACACCTTCCTACGTGGTGGGCTGGATTAAACTAACTGTTGTGGATTTCATTGACTGATGAAGTCATGTTTTGGTTTGACCTCCTCTAGCTCTTTTCCAGCCTGACCCTATGTCAGTCGGCTAACATTGCCCATTGTCGAGGAAGGCGATGACTATGCATACGTAACACATGTCCTAACCATTTCAGTCGATGTAACTTTAAAGCCTCATCGATTAATTTCCCCTTTCACCTACCTAGCACTCGACCGAAGCCTAACCTCAATATTGCTCACCTTATTATACCACTTCACACTGGAGATAGAACGCAGGCACCTATGATCAAAGACAGCTTGTCGTTTAATCTCTTCCACTCTCAATAGCCAGGTCTCGCAGCCATACATGAGGACTGAGAGAACTGCTGAGCAGTACACTCCCCTTTGGTCGATAACCAGCCGGATATCACGTCTAAGTCAGAGACGGCGTAAACTGGCATATGCGAAACTGGCCGTCTGTTTCCATACTGCGATTTCGTCAGAGATCAAGCCGTTGGCATTGGCTGATGGTACTTCCCAAATATGTGAATTGGTCAACATGCTCTACCACTTCACTCCCTATTTACAAACTAGGATAATGGGATAATGGCATCCGTGACGGCCACCACTAGTCGTCACCATTTCAGATGACAACTCGCCGTAAGCCCTCACCTGGCTGCATGAGTTTCAGTAGAGTGCCTTAATCAGTGCAATGTATCTTCTCGGCATTCCCTTTACAATCAATCATCGCCAGAGTACCTTTCGGTCGACAGAATCGAATACCGCCTTTAGGTCAAGAAATATAACGATTGTTGGATGCCAGTAAGAATGCCTATGTTCTAGAATCTGTCGAAGAGTGAAGATATGATCAATCCACCCTCTTCATGGTCTTAAGTGTGCCTGCCTCACTACGTAAAAATTAACGACACTGTTACTGAAACTTCGAAGCGCAATCTTTAAGATTGTCCAGTTTTTCACTCGGAAAACAATGGAATGAGGAACAGCTGTCCAGTACTCCCAGCTGGTTTTCCACAGCTTCTCTAACTAATGTCAGCTCCTGATGAAATCCTCCAACCAATCAAACAAAATCCCTACAAAACCAATACTTGAAAAGTGTTCACATTTCTCAGTAGAAAGAAGATTTTAAATGGAATTAATCTAGCTTGATAACAAGTTAGATCATGGATTGATATTAGTTAGAGGACTACTGAAAACCAGGAAGTATACTGAACAGTTATTTCGTCCTAGTTTGATACTCTTCAGTTGTACGTATCCATTATAACGGTAAGATTCCTAAGAAAATCCCTCCTGGATGATCTGATCATAATATTTATACTTAACCGGACGTATCAGCTAACTTTGAGAGTGTTATCCGTTAGCCTCCTATTATTGTTATTATTATTATTGTATCCTTTAGTTCCTAGAGGAACATAGGGCTTCAGCTGAGCACCTCCATTGCCTTCGGTTTTCTGACAACTTTTTCACCCTGCTCCAGGTCTGTCCACATGCTTTCATCTCCTCCTCGCATGACCTCCTCCAAGTCACCCTTGCACTGACGACCAACTCGCCGCCTCCCTTTCGGGTTCCACTCGAGGGCTTGTCTAGTGATGTCACTTGATGGTTTCCTCAGCGTATGGCCAATCCATCTCCATTTCTTTCTGCCTATTTGTTTCACAATCGGTTCCTGATTGGTTCGCTCCCAGAGATCCCTGTTGCTGATCTTTTCTGGCCGGCCATCTGATCTTGAGTATTGAGCGGAGACAGTTGTTAATGAAGGTTTGAAGTTTGTTTGAGATGCTCTTTATGACTCGCCAAGTCTCTGATCCGTATAGTAGCACTGACTGACTTCACATTGGAGTTGAAAATCCGGATCTTATTTTTGATGCTGAGTAGTGGCTGTTGACCTCCACACAGATTTGAGAGTAATGAAAGCTTGTCTTGCTTTTCCGATTCTGGCTTTGATGTCCTCGTCAGTTCCGCCTGTAGTTGAGACGATGCTTCCCAGGTAGGTGAAGGAGGTTGTTTCTTTCAGGTTCTTTGAGAGTGTTATCCGTTAGCCTCCTATATTACATATAATTATTTTGATGTTTGCACATCACATATTGATTTGATCCTTGTTTAATCTCTAAATTTAATGCTTCTTCTTGTAGTTCTGTATATATATGTAGAAATTCCGTTGTACGATGTGATTTTGTTTGAGTGAATCATGGTCGTTCTGATCTGAAACTGTCTGCGGAAAGCGGTGATGCGTGATTCCGCTCCACCTAAGAATATTCCACTTGATTCTGAGGTACTTCTTACAGTTGAATTCTAATCAACCACTTGTGTTTTACAGTAGTTGTTTTGTCCTCAGAAACCTACACTACCTGTATGACTGGCTGTCTAATGGCACTGTTGAGATAGTTTTGAGTTTTTCATTTTATTATTATTATTATTACTATTATTATTGATTAGAATCACACGTAGATTTCAATCCCAAATAATTGTCTTTTTATTGCCTGTGGAGTGTTTCGTGATTGTTTGTTTCTCAAGAAAGTTTTGAACAGCTATACGTCAGGATGCAGAAATCAATTCACGGCATTCAGGTTATGACGGGTAGGTTTGAGTCATTACATCCATCACTCCACCACTAGCAGTCAAACACAGAGCCTCCAGGTTTCAAGACGAACTCGTTGGTCATTTTAGCCAATGAGTTGATTAATTCTTACTTCTATCAACGTGTGATTTATATCGCTGTCAACCATCAGTGTCGTCGTTTCAATCAAATCCTGCAAACCAAATTCTGTTAAAACAATCGGATTTGCTTTGATTTAAGATTCATTAATCCAACAATAGTAATAATAAAAATTATAAAATAATAATAAATAATTTCTGAGAAACTCACGATCCTGTAATAAGTCCGGCTAATTTCGTTCTTACAATATGCGGTATAACACGAGTGATGTGTATTTGGTCAGCAACACCCATCTCTTTCAATTCTAATTCTAAACTTTCCGATAACAATAAACCGGCTGCTTTAGTTGCACAATAATCTGTATACCGAGGAACTGGTAATACTCCCCCACCAGAGGATACAAATACAATATGACCACGTGCAGGACTATTGTTGGTGTGATTTGAACAGTTTGACGATACTGACGTGCCAAGCATGCCTGGTAGAAATCCTTTGATCAGCTATATAAGATAAAAAAAGACAACAGAATGTGCACAACGACTCTGTATATTCATCGTTATTATTAAAGTTAAAGCTACGTGCAGTATATGCTATAAAACATTGAATAAAATTTGAAATTTTTGAATTTCCCACCATATGATTTCATTCAATGAAAATGCTCAGTCCTTATTAACATGCCATCTTCTAGGACGGACGCTTCACCAATATCTAAGGATTAGTGTGAAGTTATTTTGACTGATGGTAACTAGCAGTGAGATCCGCAATGCTCATTTTGTGCTATATGGGGCTCGTCAGATGAGTATATCTACATCACAGGCTGTGAAATTCTCCAATTAGGAGGTGAACAGTACAAAATACTTCTAGGAAGGAAGAGGCAAAGAGAGGTTGAATTTTCTCATTTGTACTGCTTGGTTTAGGCCTCAGAAGCCATTGAGCCGAAGACTGGTTAGTTATCACAGGAAGAGATGAATGAAATCCAAACGTTTGTAACCTTCGATGGTTACCAATTTAATCATGAAGGAAATAAAAGACAGATTCAGCGAAGAAAATTTTCTTTATCAACGAAATCATCTTCACAGGCTGGCTGTACAGTCGTATTTATACTTAGAAAAATACATAACGGTCTATTAGAGGGTGACATAATTGATATAATTACTCAGAAGTGGCTTTAGAAGTGAAAATTAAAAGTTGTAAATTACGTAGTACTCAATGGCGTCTACAAAGTGAAGCCAAATAGTACAAAGGACGTCAGGTTTCGGCTTTTGTGTATGGTGGAGGCACTGGTAGTTCATAAATACAACCCTGAACTTTCTATACAGAAAAAGTTTGTCCAGTCTCTTATTCTACCTTGGTCATAACCTCTTCACTAATCGTTCTCTGTAAAAAATTTTGATTTTTTCTTTCCTTTTTTAATTTGACTTTTAGTTTACTTTTGCTTTAATAATTAATTCACTATTACCACTCTAATATGCTCCTTTTGTATATTTTCACACCCTCTTCACACTTGTTAAATTGACACTCAACTACCACCTTTATTCTCACTCAGTAGAAATTTTAACCTTATCAAACTTCTATCTTTGTACCGTTGAGTACTACGTAATTTACAACTTTTAATTTTCACTTCTAAAGCCACTTCTGAGTAATTATATCAATTATGTCACCCTTTATTATTCAATAATAGACCACTATACATTTTTCTAAGTATAAATACGACTGTACAGCCAGCCTGTGAAGATGATTTCGTCGATAAAGAAAATTTTCTTTGTTGAATAACTCTTTTATTTTCATCATGACTCAATGGGTATTTTCGGTGATTTGAAGCAGAGCAAGTACCAATTTAATCTTGTTAACACCAATGCAGTATGTCAAAATAAAGAGCAGTTGCACAAAAAGTTCTCTGGCTTGTTACACTGCCGTTCTCTAACTGCATTTATGTTTATTAACCTCCAGTTTAACGCCAAAAATGGTTTGCTTTATTGAAAGATAGTTAGAGGGTATACATAGGAGTTTATAGACAGAAATTCCGTGTTTACCGGTACTGCGACGGATACAGATTGATAGGAAGCGGCCAAAAATTGTGATCAACAATTGAAGTCAACGGTTGTAGAGGCAGTAGTGTCAATTCTTCAAATCTAGTAGATTTATTTTACCCAGTGGACATGAAATACCTTGATTACACAAATCGTTTAACTTTGGGCCAATTGAAAACTATTCAGAACAATTTATTCCCCTTCTGATCTAGCTGAACTTTATTGTGTTTAAGAATGTATAAATACGATGTGTTTTTCTTTAACAAAGGCCTGTCTGTTATCAAGTCTCTTGTCTTCTGTCGTTACAGTACACGTCGCCAAAGCGTATGTACAACGTTAAAAGAAATGATGTTGCTTGCGAGAATCGAACAACTCACAACAAGTATTACTGTAATCCAAGATTTTTCCACTAAACTTTTCAGCACCAAACATAGTTCGAAGCCTACCTGCAGTAATGATGAGTCATCTACTGGGTTCGCCGCGTTGCACACCTTACTGGTAACATCTTGATCAGCATCAACACTAGGGAAATAGATAACAGTTATTGCATAGTATCTAGTTGGTGTATATGTAGCTTTTTAATGACTTGAAGATCAATTACAAGGTTAGATATGATAGAGAAGATTTGTACCTCAGGTGGATGATTTTGATGTGGTTGTGTTCCCTGAGCTGGATGGTTTAATTGCCCTACTAAGCAACATCTTCAGCACATACACTTCAATTTGCTGAAGTGAGCTTCTAGATTTCTCCACGAGTTTATTAGTCATCTTTCCAGGTGGGTGACCCTGAACGTGATTGGTTGTTTTTATGTGTTTTCACAGCCTCTAGGCTACTTGTTTTCGAACAGATTGTTTCCTCACATACAAAGGGTCAAAGTTCAAGTCAAGGGAACGATCAGTTCCAATACAAGTAGCTGCCTAGAGGATGTGAAAACACACAAAAACAACCAATCACGTTCAAGGTCACCCACCAGGAGAGATGACTAATAAATTCATGGAGAAATCTAAAAGCTCGCTTCAGCAAATTGAAGTAGTATGCGCTGAAGATGTTGCCTAGTACGTAGGGCGATGAAAGCTTCTCAAAACACAACCACATCAAAATTACAAGGTTAGTTAACAACAAAAAAGGTTACAAAATTATACTTACATAGAAGTATGCATAAAAATTGACTTTGAAGCATTTATCAAATTTGTCTACACTAAGATGTAACAATGGCAATAAATTGATAATTGCAGCATTATTCACCAAGATTGTAACCCGTCCATAATCTTGTAGAATTTCATTGACAATACGATCGATGTCTGCTGGCGAACTTTTTGTATAAGAATAAAACAAAATGAATTAGTTTGTTTGGATAATTTAACTGGGGGATGGTGACTAGCAGTGGGATCCAGGATGCGCATTTCGTCCTGTTTGGGACTCGTCAGCCGGACGTACCTGCATTTCCCAGTGAGTGATGATGTTCCCACCCAAATTCAATAAAATTAATATGACCCGTTGCACAAGAGGTGGATCTCATGGCACAAGTGGTCAAGTGGATAACGCTTTGGCGTTCGAAACTACGGGCACTGAGTTCGAGCCTCGGTGGGGACATCATCGCTCACCGGGAAATGCAGGTACATCTTGATGACGAGTCCCAAACAGGACGAAATGCGCGTCCTGGATTCCACCGCTAGTCACCAACAACTGGTTACATTCTAATTAAATGCCCAGATATCGTCGAAGCATCTGCACAAGAAGCCAACATGTCAACCTGAGACCAAGCACTTCGGTCCAGTCAATCGACGGGAAAGTGCTCAAATTAAATTAAATTGTTTGGATTATGTTTCATATATAGCCATAATTTAATTTGAAACTTTTGCAATAACAACAGACCTTCCTACGAAGAAGTTCTGTTCTGGAATATTTGATCAACTTCAACCTATCAATCAATCAATCTAGAAAATGATTTATCGAATTCACGGACGAACCTGCAGTATTTTGCTTCATTTTCGGCTTCTTAAAACAGCTGAAGCCATGTGTATCAAACGGAGTATGTATAGTGCGTCTGTTTACCTTAGTCTTATGAGCACCGAGAGGAAAGATGCAGTCATGGTTTTACTTTGTTAGACCAGTCTGTTCACCCCCCTTTGTTAACACTACTGTGACTCACAGCGACAAACTCAACGAAGCCTTTTAAGTGAAGATAGGTATAAAAAAAGACTGTCTACTATCAACTTTGATGTTGATGACCACAGGGGAGTGGATCATGTCACAGATGGTGGAGCACGGGAAGAATGGCATACGTTGAAACGACAGAAAGACAGTAGAAGATTTGGACTTCGTGAATGATGATTTATGTCTAAGGTCACACAAACCTGAGGCTTTACAGGTGTAAACCAACAAGCTGGAAGAAGGAGCAGTGTAGATATGACTTCAAGTGAACACAGAGAATTCAGAGACTTTGAATATACCTAACCAACAAAAACAACAATAACAGCAAGCACCAGTCACCATCAGCAGTAAATGTCTCAAGGAAAATCACTTCTTCTATTTGAATAGGCAGCAACGTTTTAAATACGCGCGACACGGATGGCGATGGCAAAAGCAGGAACGTGAAAACAGGAATATGACCTTCATTGATCTGAAATCATTGCAGAAATCTACTGCACTCAACATAAAGAACAAGATTCAGACTTTGAACACCAATGTCAGAGATTTGACGTGTCACTAGAAGGGTTCGAAAAGGTTATTGCAGACTTTTATCAACAGCTTCATACTTTGGTCCATCCTGTAGGTCAGATGGACGGCCAAGAAGGATTAGCAGCAAGGGACAAACCAAACAAGAATCTTTTGACCAACAAACATGAGATACACATCAAGGAGACCGTTGAAAGACATTGTTCTCCAGGCTGTCACTAGAGTAGAATCCGAATGAGCATCCATATTCAACAATGAGACCATGTGAGGAAGAGGAGGAGCATTGGGAGATGAGAGCTTACGAGCAATCTTGGATCCAGAGAAAGGCGATTGCAGGAAACAGGGTGAAATAGAGATTTGGTGTTGAAGCTCTATGCTTATGATTGAGACCCCACCACTGTGCTGTCTAACTTCCTATTCAGAATAATACCTCTACTTTTCTGCGATTCTTGTTGTTTTAAGCCTCGAATTGTGTCTCTGGATTCTAACATGAACTCAAACCGCAAACGTTTAACTGACTCCCAACCTGTCACTGTGTAGTAAGTGTACTTCATAAAGAAAATATTGGACAAAAAAATGTCATGGAAAGTCGAGTGATGTTTCAGATAGAATGCGACGTTGTGTCATACGATGAATATTTTACTGGAAAATTCTATACGGGAAGTAAATATTTTGCAAGAAAATAGGTGAAGAATTCTGTATTGCGTGTAAACATAATTTCCAGAAAAGAGCTGATATTTTAAAATAATTATTGTTTGTTTTCTTGACGACAACAACAGCGCACCAAATTCGATGAAAAGTTACATTTACAAACTATCCAGCTTCGGGAGGAATAACAACGTCAAAAAACATCCAACTCAGTTATAAATTTGCTTCACCGTTTCATGAAATTTAAGCAACTTCCAGAGTCATTTATTATTATTTAATTAATATTATTTCCTTTAATTCCTTGAGGAACATAGGGCTGCGCGTCTCCATTGCGTTCGGTTCTCTGTCAACTTTTTCACCCCGCTCTAAGTCTGCCCACATGCTCTCATCTCCCCTTCACATGACTTCCTCCAAGTCACCCTACCCTCACACTGACGACCAACTCGCCGCTTCCCTTTCGGCCTGGTTCCACTCGAGCGACAGCTTGTCTAGTCATGTCACTTGATGTTTTGTTCTCTCAGAGTATGGCCAATCCATCTCCATTTCTTCCTGCCTATTTGTTTCACAATCGGTTCCTGGTGGGTTGGTTCGCTCATTGCCAGAGATCCCTGTTCCTGATCTTTTCTGGCCGGCCATCTGGTCTTGAGTATTTAGTGAAGACAACTGTTAATGAAGGTCTGAAGTTTGTTTGAGATGCTCTTTATGACGCTCTGGCCAAGTCTCTGATCCATCCGTATAGTGAGTAGCACTGACTGAATTCACATTGGAGTTGAAAATCCGGATGTTATTTTTGATGCTGAGTTGTGGCTGTTGATCTCCACACAGACTTGAGAGTAATGAACGCTTGTCTTGCTTTTCCGATTCTCGCTGCTTTGATATCCTCGTCATTTAGATTACCCGTCTGTACTAATTCATTTTTCTGAGGCAAAAGAACATTCTGTTTCAAACAAACTGTTTTATCATGTTAAGAAATGTTCTGCTTAACTAGTAACCTTATTAACCACCACACACAATATTTTCTGAGATTTATACATACTATGAATGATTTTATACAACACGTAATCTACTTTATAGCCATTCATTGTTTAACTGAAATTACTGTTACAAATAAATGAGTTATAATTAAGAAACGACATCATTAATAATTCTACAGACATTCATTGTTTAAATTTTCACATGCGTTACAGTTATCTTAAATGTAGACGTGGAGACGTGGCTCTCCGGCTTAGGCGTTCAACTTTCGCAGAAATCTCTTAAGTAATGGATATCCTAAAATTTTTATTGACAGAAACATCAAGGAGGAAACTGTCCACAGCCAAATCATAGTGACAAATAAGACGCTGGTTATGAGCTTGGCGTTCAAAGGTGACACTATCGCTGAAGTAATTAAAAATCGTTTACCTAAATGTATTAAACGATCTTTTTATGCAACTGATTTACATTTAGTATTTACCAGCCAAAATATGATTCGACACTACGTGAAGAATAAATTCCCTTTTATGTTGCAGACCTTTATCAACAACTGTCTTCGCTGGTTCTATACTGAAGATCAGATGGCCGGCCGGGCCGGAAAGAATCACCAACAAGAAACTATGGCTGGGAACAAACAAACAAAACAAGAACCAATCGCCAACCAACAAATATGCAGGAGAAAGTGGAGTTGGATGGATTGGACACTCGCTCGCTGGGAGGCCGCTGAGTGACATCGTGCGCGCGTCAGGCCATTGCTCGAGTGGAACCAAGCCGAAAGGGAAGCGGCGAGTTGGACGTCAGTGGAAGGGTGACATGGAGGCGATCGTGTGAAGAGGAGTTGAAACAGTATGGACTAACATGGATGTGTGCAGGTGAAAAGTATAGCAGAAGCAAGACAGAAGTGGCAAGTGGAGACGTGCAGTTTAAGCCCTATATTCCACTAGGAACTCAAGGGAACAATGATAATAATATGTCCACCTTTATGTGTATATGCTGATTCAAATGCTCCTGTGGAGCTGATTACATCGGATAATGTAAGCGTGTTCTTCATAAATGCGTAGCTGAACACTAGTTGGTTAATGAAAGGTGAACTATAGGACGACGAAGTCCTAAATATGTGAACACCTTATGGAGACAGGTCATTCAGCTTCACGTGATTTATCCTTTCAAGTCATCTACATGACCAAATCCAACAACTCAAAAAGCTTATGTTTCCTCCACTTGTGCATCTCCGAAGCTCTAACTATATATGGACAGAAGCCTATATTATATGTTCAGAAACGTTTTGTTAACCCCTCTCTTTACTTTGGTCACAGTAATGTTCTTTTGTTTTATTTTTTATTATACAACTTGAATTCATTCCATTTCATTTCACCCTTGCCGTCTTCATTGTTATCGTCATCGTACTCCTTATGTTTTAGACAACACTTGACCTACAATCTTAAAATATTTATACTAGTTCCCTTATTTAGTAATCTTTAAAAGCTTTGTAATTCATCCACGTCAGCTGTTCCCTTTAAAAACATCATTTTAATTACTTCCATATTAGTTTATTCATTAGATGTGTTACACAGTGAAACGGTATTTTTTTTACTGGATGACAACGTTTTGAACAAAATTTATTCTTCAGAATCATATCAGTTATAATCACACAACTTCGATACTTGAGTTTTATAGTTTTCTTTGTCCTCTCCTATTTGTCGTCATAGGGGTGGTAGAATTTTCCAGATATCCGAATGGACAGGTGTTGAATCATTCCTAATACACGTGTTTGCAGCTGAATCGATAAACAAAGCTTCTCTTATCAATCTCTCCCTCCACTCTGTGACTTTAGATTTTAAAGATGTCACTTTATCCCATCAACTTCCTATTACGTGGTTGTGTGTAATTGCACGTAGTGCCGTGTGATACATGTAATAAACAAACTAATATGGAATTCATGTGTTGGTTTGTAGGGATTTGATTGGTTGGTTACAGGATTTCATCATGAGGTGGCATTAGTTAGAGAACCATGGGAAAACCACAGGGGAGTACTGTACGGCTGTTTCGTCCCAGTTTGGGACTCTTCATCAGTGCGCACGCAGCGGGGTTCGGACCCAGGACCTTCTGGTTACAAGTCGAGCTCGTAACCATTAAGTCACTGGGATCCGATCCAGTGGTTAACCCATGAATTCTAACTTCTGCCAATTCATGATATAGCTCAACCGCTAGCCAATGTCTTCGGTGAGTATTTGTCTTCACACCCAACGTGCTGCATCCTACTGGTCACGACTTCCCACTAGAACCCCAGGTAACTACCTACCTGAATAGGACAAGTCACCAGTGAGAATCTCATCAGTATTCAAGTGTCGGTGTGTAGGGATTTGATTGATTGATAACACCCGTGGGTGCGTACCGCTGAAGAATCTCAAACTACGGCGAAACAGCTGTACAGTACTCCAAGGTTTTCCCATGGTTCTCTAACCAATGTCAGCTTATGACAAAATCCTGAAACTAATATGGAATTACTTACTATCACAGTGCCCAAGTTTTACACATGTATCATTCTTAACATATGTATACTGACTGAGCAGTTTCTATTGCCCTTTAATTCCTTCTTCCGTAATATGAATACGACTGCACAGCTTGAAATGAAATTGTTCAAAAGAGATATTTCTTCACCGAACAAAAGCTGAATTTTTCCTTCCAACCAGGGGATCTTGGGTTTGATTCCCTCTTCATCTGCTTGAGCTGGACAGTTGCATGATAGCATTATCAGCTTTCATACAGTAAGTGTGACTCATAGCCAGGGACATGAATAACCGTGTTTCGTGAACTCAGTTCAAACTATCAAAACTTTCATATGTATGTACAACTTGATAACAATGAATACATTGGAAACAGCCAATTTTCTCTGTGTGAATATATTCTCCTTTCAATGTTAAAATAATTTTAAAAAAAAGTATTTATTTACCTTAAATCACATAGGTATGGTTTAATTTGTACACCTCTTCCACTTTTCACATAAACAGCAGTTTCCTGAAGACCTTTTTCGTCTATATCGAGAGCTAGTATATTTGAACTGTATTTAGCAAATTCTAGACACATTTCACGACCAATTCCATTCCCTGCACCTATATATATACATGGAATAACAAACAGAAAATAAGTAACGTCATTAAGATATTAAGATGATGACACTGTTAGACGTGAAACATACAAGAAGTTACTAATGTAAATTAGCAAAGTGAATCGACCCTTTCATCGTTCATCTTTCTGTAATTTTTATGTTGCCACCCTTTCTATCGTTTAATTATAACTTTGCTATTTTGCTTTAGTTGTTATTACTATTATTACTACAATTTTTATACTGTATACATATTTTTCTTCTTATCGCATACTGCTTGCTACATAGCTGCTATAAACGTTTTGTTATTATTACTATTATTTAATGTTTATTTTTTGTCGTTTTGAGTAAATTAGATGCAATATATTGTACTGAATGCTGAAAACTCTTTGCTGTATCATTAGTACTGTTTTTGGAATAAAGCAAAAATTATTATTATTATTATTATGAAGCTGACAATGAAGAGTCTTCCTCTGTCATCTGCAGCACATCAAATAAATTAAATACTGAATAATCCAAATAGCAGAGGCCACTGCAATTCGCTTAAAGTAACCGGAGTTGTATGTGCAAAATTAACAGATTCAGCCAGTGTTGCCACCTTGACCTACTGTAGGAACACCTATAAATTCATAAATTCTGTATTACTTCCCTTAATTTCTTTGATATTCAGTTTATTGCTATTTTTTTCTTGTTTGATTGGTTGCAGGATGTCATCATGAGCTAACGTCAGCTAGAGAACCACTAACAAAAAAAGTGGGAAGTATTGGACAGCTTGAACACCGCAATGACCCAACAAGCTATACTGGCTGAGACTATGCCGGAAAGGTTGTTTGGATAGCGGTTAAACAAAAAGCAGCTACCCAATCCAGTGCTAGGACTGAAACAAAATCACAAAATATCATGCCGGATCGGTCGGGGCCCGGATTAACAACGATCGCGCTTCCTGCTGTCGTGTTACAGGGCAGAAGTGAAATAAATATGCTACTGAGACATACCAAACAATAAAGAACAAACAAAAACAGACCGCGTGTGACCGGCCTCTCCTGGGTTCTGCGGTCACGCAACTCTCTTTCTGTTTCAGTTTCCCAAAGAACCAATCAACTTCCACGGTGTGGGCAGCCGGGAAGTAACAACCGCCCACACACTTCCAAAAGCACACGAAGCCTTCCTGAGCATCATTCCCCTTCACTCATATCACCTTCCTCATCTTGCTTCTCTACTACAGTTAGTACTATTCTGCAGGCTAATGAGTCATCTTCACTTCACTCTGTGACCACGAACAACGATGAGAGCCATAGAAACACCCAGACAGCCTTTTAAAGCTACGTCACCAACTTCATATAGGGGCATTTAACGTCAGAACCCTCTGCCAAATCGGACAACAAGCATCACTAGCAAGAACTCTGGCAACTTGAGCCATGGATGTATGTTGTGTTTTGGAGATACGCATACAAGACCCGAGTGTGGTCATTCATTTAACCTCCCCGGTAAACAAGGTGAATCTACAAAATTCACTTTAAGGGTGTCAGGAGACCCCTCAGCTAGCTCGCAAGGACTCACAGGTGTAGGGATAGCGCTAAGTGTTAGGGAGGAAGAGTCACTTCTCGACTGGATCCCAGTAGATAGTCGTATGTGTGCGGTCCGTCTGAATGGGTCCGTTAAAAGAAGGAAAGATGGCGCTATCCGTTGTTGCCTTTTCGTAGTCTCCGCTTACGCCCCAACAGACTGCAGTTCGGATGAACTAAAGGATGACTTCTACCTGAAACTGTCTAATTTGCTGCAAAAAGCGAAACGCTCAGATTGGACAGCTGTTTCGTCAGCCTAGTTTGGGACTCTTCGCCGGTTATATTATCACTTACAGATGCTCTTGAAATATAATCTATCGATACTGTTGATTCAGTGTAATTTAAAACAGCATTAATGTTCTTATTAAAACAATATTTCTCTGATTATAATGGTTGTATAAATGCAGGATCTGATGACAAATTTGTCGAAAAGAATATACTCTTTGCTCCCTGATATCAGTCTTGTAAATGTCTTAATAAGCATCTTTAGTTAGATAAATTACTCACCTGTAATTAATATAACATCATCACTGATATCCTTGTAAACAGGGGACATGTACAATTTCAGTGTTTCATAGCAATCATAAATAATGCTAAGCATTACATAACTGGTTAGAATTATCAGCTCCTTTAAATATAAAAATAATCCCATATTTGTAGTCATAATTATTCAGTTACAGAGATAATATGATGAAGTTTTTCAAAAGATCTTGCCTTCCAGGTTAGAGAGAGAGGGTGAGAGAGAGAAGTAGAGAATATTTCTAAACACTAAAACATCATAAAAGAATTTAAAAATAGTGGTGATTCAAATAGTCAAATAACTGGAATAACATGAAATGAAAATCTTACCTACATTGCTGACAGAATTACCCTCCACTCTTATGATTCATTTTTTTTCAATTCTGTTTTGATTTTTCCGCTGATTATTGATTGGAGAGAATTTTTTCGGCTTCTGTTGATATGTTGGCTCTTTGTGCAGATGCTTCGATAATGTTCAGGGATGATAGTGTTCCCCCTGAGGCTAGAATCCAGTAGTCATCGTTTTCAACGCCAAAGCTGAAAATTTCGGTCGACTCATCCAATAGGAAAGTCAAAATAAATAATAACTGACACTCACTGCACAACAGGTGACTGTTGTGGCCCAAGTGGTTGATTGAGTAGTGCTTAGGCATTTGAAACGACGGCTACGGGGTTTGAGCCTCAGTGGGAACATCATCTGTCACTAGGGAATGCGGGTACTTTCAGATGACGAGTCCTAAATAGAAGAGAATGCGCATCCTGGATTATACTGCTAGTAACCATACACCGAATTGATTCAAGTTATTAACTATCACTCTTATTTACTGAATTTTTAAACATTGTTTTGAATACATGTGGGGGATTCTGATCTGTATTCATTGTAGACCATAACATGAACCGACATCAATTAGGGGGGGGGCATTAAATAGCTCGGGGCTTTAGAATATTGTGTTTTTTTTACTTGTCCCCTTCAGGGATGGAGTCAATATCACAAGAAAAATCCTAATCAAAGGACAATAAGTTGGATCTGTCGTAGTATAAAACGCACCGAGGAGAACAAGAGCGTAATGTTTAATAAAATAAAACACAGTCAACAAGATTTCAACCATTTACTTTTCTGTTGAATTCTCTTTGTAATGGACTATTTTTGAAATAGACGGTGTCAGCAATTTTCGAAGAATAGTGTTAAGGAATTTTATGATTTAGGTAAACACGATTATATTTTGATTGGACACTAGTGGGCAGTGCAACGTGTCTACTCCCTTCTTTGGTGCAGACTGAATTCTATCAGTCAGTCAGGTTTGCAATGTGGCCACCATTCTAGACAGCTCACAATCACGGTGCACATTGATTTGATGATATTAGACAGTTGGAGGCAATCGGCCACAGGAAGCCTTGGACACACCTTGGTTTCGCACTAGTTACTAGTGTCCAATCAAAATACCTACTGCAGTCCTACAGGAGGTCAATTTTTCCGGTAATATACCGATTACTAAGCAATCATTTTTCATACTGACGTTAAAATGGCTCATAAAACAACGAACACCAATAAATTTATTCTTCAAAAGCAGTGATGTGCCAGGTAGGAGGTTGTTTCTTTCAGGTTCCTCCCATTTATACTGGCTGATGTTGTCTGTTTCTTGTTGTTGTGTGGTGTGGCCAGGAATCTTCATCACCTAACTCTGTTTTATCTATGTTCACCTGAAGTCCCTCTATCTCCTCTGGATGCTTCTTCTGCAACTTGTTGCTTTTCACTTGCATATCTTCCAGTTTGTGGGAAATCAGACATACGTCATCATTGGCGAAGTCCAGATCCTCCAAGTACTTTTTTGTGTGAGTCCATTTTATGCCTGTTTCCTCGTTACCCGCTCTGTGTCTGTCATATCCAATCTCTGCAATCAGGAAGATCATTGGTGATAGTAGGCAGCCTTGCCTCAACCCGTCCTCACTTCGAAGTCTTCGTAAGTTTCCCGTGTGGATTACTTTGCAGCATTATTGTCGTATAACTGTTGGATGAGATGTATAATTGTCGATGGACCCGTAGTGCGAAGTAGTTTCCAAATCACCTCTCGATTGACGCTGCGCTGTCGAATGCCTTCTCTAGGTTAACTAATTCATACGTAATGAAACGAAAGTTATATAATGTTCAAACAGAAAAAGATTTAAAAATAATTATTTTTGATGCTTGAAGTTTATAGAATACCATTTAAGCAAATATGTGTTTTCGGGGAATTCTCATCAGGCTTTTGAATTAGTGTGTTTAATAAAATATATAGGATCAGCGTTTATGCATCAATATCCGAATGAATGTGCGTCGGTGGCACAACAGTAGGATACTCAACAACCACCCATATGATTCGGGTTAGATCCCTGACCACTGATGCACTCCTTCACCTCGCTAAGCCCTTAATAAGACTGGTAAAGAGGGAAGGTTGGGCATGAGGCTAGCAACCTCATCCTGTAAAAATCAACACCACTACCAGCGAAACTTCAAGCCTCTAGCTTGAAGCCGCCCTATGTTCCACTGGAAACGTAAAGGAATAAAAAAGACACCGAATAAATTCAGATCCAGAGGCAGTTAGCAATGAGAACTGGACACTGATCCTGAACTCACGAACAGACCACAGCTATCGGTTGATGAAATAACAGGTGTACAATCATCCCTAAATTTCACTGTATTCAAATCCCAAAGTTAAATATACAAACAAAAAAAACAAACAAATGGAGTTAGTAATGTAAGTGTAGAATGTAATTCCACATTAGATAAGTTTATTCGAAATAACACACATGAGAAAAGTATTAAGCAATAAATGACATTTTGAGCACATTTTTGCTACTCACAGTCATATCACAACACAATCAAACAAATGAGGTGGCAATGAGATCACCAATAGCCGCCCCCCTCCCTAGTTACAAACAAATTTTGTGGTAGAGAGTAATAATGGCGTAGCGTGTGCTACTGATAAAACTTATTAGTAGTATATAAAGAGATGTTCATCAGCATAAAAATATCAAATAGCGAGTAGTAGATAGATTCAACGTCAAAGAGAAAGAGAGAGAGAGAAAATGAACCAGTGTTGCGGAAAAACATGACAGACACAAAAAATAAGACAAAGAGACACAAGATGAAGGAAGGGCAGAAGTAGAACATCACGACGGAATCCCTCCGCAAATGGTGCGTTGAAGATAAGGTGTACATAATTTCGCTAATGTAGAGACACCAAATTGCAAATAAACATTCCTATGATTGGATGGAGGATTTCATCATTAGCTGACATCAGTTAGAGAAGCATTGGAGCACCTGCAGGGAGTACTGGACAGTTGTTTCCTCCGTCCGCCAGGGTTCGAACCCAGAACATTCTGGTTACAAGGCGAACTCGTAGAAGGTTGAAGATGAGACAGTAACTCATCGAAGAAGACATTGCGAAATGGTCACGTTTTGCAGTGAATTGGCAGAAGTTAGAATTCATAGTCCAATAGATTGAGTCCCAGTGCCTCAATGGTCTGCGAGCTTGCCTTGTAACCAGAATGTCTTGGGTTCAAACCCTGGCGGTGGATGCGTACTGATGATGAAGAGTCCCAAACTAGGATGGAGGAAACGGCTGTCCAGTACTCCCCGCTGGCTTTCCAGTGTTTCTCTAACTGATGTCAGCTCATGATGAAATCCACCATCCAATCAAACAAGAAATCCCTACAAAACCAATGCTTGAAAACATTCCTCTACCAAGTCTCTTGTCACCTATGGTTACAATGAAATTAATGACCACCATCCAATCAACAAGAAATCCCTACAAAACCAATGCTTGAAAACATTCCTCTACCAAGTCTCTTGTCACCTATGGTTACAATGAAATTAATTGAAACAAAACATAAATAGTACAGAATTCAAAGCTTGGATAGTACTGTCATGTAAATCGGGAACATCAGAAGCCCTACGTAGGATTCTTAATGAGGCTGGAACTAAAGTGTCGTTTAAATCAGCCAACCATCTCTCTCAGAGATAAAGTTTGTCATTTCGAGGACTGTTATGACTGAACGGAACCGACTCGTTGCCAATTTGTTATATCTGCGCTTTTTAATTACTTTAACGGTAATCAATTCAAACTGGTACGCTATTCTGCCTATTTGTCCGTTGTACCTTCCGATTCACTGAACCATGCAAATAATAAAAGACAAAGGCCGGTCTGTGACTATACATTTCATACACTTTAACAGGAATCAAAACATCATATTTATATATTTAATTCATCACAATACAGTTGACTCAAAACCTTGAGAATGGACTATTCTTATTGGCTGGAAATATGTGTCTATTCTGATTGGTTGATGATCCGACAGTGATTAAGGTGAGACAAAAGACGACGAATTGATCACACACACACGCACAATAAATCACAAGGTATGCGTGAGAAATGATACATTCTTAACATAGTAACTTCATCACATGATAAATCATACGACTCGTGAGAAAGGATGACATACTTACAACTTTATGCTTGGTCCTATCAGTGACGTGATAGTTCCAATTAGACAAAAATATGTATAATTTACCAAATACTATTCATGCTTGTGAGGTCAAAATTGCACAGGTCAAACTAGTAGATCGGGGTCAAACAAATTATCAGAACTTGAGAAGTTAGCCAGATCTAGATCTGGAAAGAGAAGAATCAGCTGTTGCATTACATTCACTTGAAATCACAAATTAGGGCGTGAAAGGATGAAAGTAATTCCATATTGGTTTGTTTATTAGATATATATCACACAGTGAAGGAACAGTACTATTTACTGGATGGCAACTTTTCGAACACAATTTATTTATTGTTCATAATCATGTCATCAATTATAATCACACGACTTCGAAACTCCAGTTTTATAGTTTTCTTTCTCCTCTCCTATTTGTCGTCGTAGAGGTAGAAGAATTTTCCAGATATCCGAATGGACAGGTGTTGAATCATTCCTATTACACGTATTTGCAGTTGATTCGATTAACAAAGCTTCTGTTATCAATCTCTCCCTCCACCCTGTGACATTAGATTTTAAGGCTATCATCCTATCCCATTCATCCTATTGTATGGCTGTGTTGTGTGTAATTACACAGTATATAAGTTC